CCAGTCGACAATAAGAGGCCATGGAATCTTTAAAGCTTCGCTTGTGGTAATGGCCGGTAGATACACCATATCGGTGGCGCATTGAAGAAAATCTCAGCTCATGGCTCCCGTTAGTACAACTGCAGCCGTATTAAAACCTGCCATGTCTCCGTTGGAATGTTTTTTTCCCGAGCAGATAGTCCTTCCGAGTTCCCCCATGCTATTCACTAAGAGCCATGGCAGGCATTGCGAGGAGAGCGTTAAACTGTATGAACCTCAAGACCTTGAAATTTTAACGTCAACAAGTGTTGAAGTTCACTCTTGGGCTCACTATTTCCAATTGATTTTTTTTTATTTGTTTATTGTGGGACGATCATTCTTTTGTTAAATGTAGATGATGGACCAGCTCTGTAACCACACCCCATGAGCAGCCATCGGTTGTCTAGTTTCATGGGGATTACTAACAAGTAGTTTGCAATCATACTTGTCGAGATGCGGAGCAAAGAGTAGTTCTTAGAGCATATACACGCAAGCATAGGAAGTTTGAACTCGGCATCTTTCGCAAGGCATAAAGCAAGTGATAGACAAAGTTGTAAGATATACTAGAGCAGAAGAGAGAAATGAAGTAACCGGTGAAATAGGAGTCAGAAGAATCCACTCGAAAGAATCTGAAGCGAGTTAGAAAGCTTAATATGTCATCTTTTGAATGGCAGAGGACTTCTAAATCCTCTCGCCTAGCAGTTTGATAGAATGTTCTTTCTAACCAAAACAGTGGTTTAAGTGTTAAAAAAATATTATTGTTTTTTTAGTTTCAAGACTCTTGAAAAATTTCAGCTGGATTTCCAGAAAATATGTAAAAAAATTCAAGTAAAGAAGTAAATTAAATGATGAAAATGATTTGAATTTATAGATGTGTATACGAAACAATTGATAAATCACAAACTGTTTAATATCTTATAAGAAAAGATTTTTATTTCATTCTTCAGTTTACATCATGCTTGCAAATGAACTAATTTACTTTATCAAACTATAACCTTATTGGATATAAGTGCTTAGGACCTTGAACTTAGCAAAGAAATGTTCAAGTTTCAGAGAAAAGTATCAACGATAGAAACGTCGTGATGAACTCAACTGTGGTTCTTGCGATGAACACATCACGAGTTTAATATAGTATCGATTTCAGAGAAGAGGCATACCATGTCTCACTTGAACCTTGAACCTGAAAACTTTGTCATGTGCAAATAATAATGCTATCAACCGCGAGAACAGGGCCATACAAACTTAAGCTCAGCCTATGCCCATAAATGATTCATGCGGGATGGTCACTCTTCAAGTCTGTTCCCTTCCTCGACGTCGTCAAATGATTTCCCTCTCTCCTCTGCGACATTTGCTGTGGATGCTTGCAAGACATTGTCTCTGGATGTTCTTTAAATCGACTGCGATCACCCTCCTCACTTACGTGTACGGACTCGATGAGAGAAATAACGACAGGCGGGGCCAAAAGGACGATAGCGAGGAGATGAGGGATGGATAGAAAGAAGAAAGAATGTCACTCAACTCTCGATCGAAGTCGATTAGAATGATGGGCTTGAATAGTTTCGGCGTTTCGGGAAATGCCGAAGCGAGGAGTCATCTCAGGTCATTCCAGGTTTCGAGCTCAGTCTGTAGAACCGCATTGCAAACAGTGCTGAAGGCGACCGGCTGTGCAAATGATATTTCTCCAGGTCGATGGTCTCCTCGGACGCTCTCACTCTACCGAGCGTGCCGGTGAAAGTGCCAGACACCGATTGGAAAATCCCATGCGATATGAATGTCAGATCTGCTTCGGTGGTCTCCCATTGCCTGGTGTACATCTCCTGGGCTCATTACTTTCAGAGCAATGGCCGGAGCAGGTACTTCCCTTGTCTCATCTGGAAACCTCCCATCCATCTCCCTTGCGCCATCATTGGTCCATACGCATGACTTTTCGGAAGCTCGCACAGTGGAGCTGGAGCTGCCTGCCCTCATATTACCTTCCATGCTGTCTCGTTTGCATCTTCTCTGGCTTCCGTGGAAAAGTTCAGCGGGTGCATCCGAACCGATGTGAGGTTTATAGCTGGCTGTGCGTTGTGCTGGCCAACGATTTGAACTGCAGCTACGCTATCGCTCCTCGCCGAACCAGCATCTGGAGAGTAGTGACTAGGATGGCCGGGAACCTGATTTCAGCCGCTCTGCGGATCTTGTTTAGTCTCGACACGCCAAGCTCTTCATTCGAGATGCAGCAGAGCTAGGAAAAGTGAGCCTAGGGACGGAGTCCACGTGACTGATTCTCACATGCGCGTTATCAGTCAACTAGAACAAGATGGCATTTACATTTTCGGCTCGGTTGCTCATCACTCCGGCCAGTTTAGTTCTCGGATAGATAGCACGAGCATGACTAAGAACGTAATGGCTTGGTGGACGACTGCATGGAGAGAAAATTATAGTTTCTAACGCCGATGACATTTCATCTATTTTGGACGAAACATCCCCCAGCACTTCCTCATGCATTTGATGCAATACCCACATTGAAGCTCCGACCGGGCGTACTCGAGATTTCTGATGTTTCCTCGGTCAAGAAAAAGACATGAGGCAAAATAAATATGTATTGAATATGAAACATGTGGAGCAAAAGTTTTTACAAGGCATCCATGAGGCGGAAACAAATCCAGACACAGATAGTTCACATATGTTACTGCATCACGAGCTTTAAGGAAGTCGTCACCAGTGAAACATTTCTACGCAGTCATTTCCTGCGGCTGTGCAGACACTGTGTACAGGATATGTGTTCCATGGATTGTGGAGGATCCTTTATGGTTGTGGAATGAAGGTCTCCACATGTTCGGCATGCTATTAACAACAGATCAACTTTTTGCATGTCAAAATCACACAGCCGCTTGCTGTCAATACCTCCTTTGTTAAGAGGGTGCACAGAAGTAAATAATCACGCCAAGATGCCGGTGCAAAACCTACATAGAGTATCCTAATTCCAGGCATTAATTCAATGTTCCGTTCGAGGGTTATCTAGAATAATCATCGAAGCCAGATGATGATACCACAAGAAGCCCTCGCAGAATATAGCATTATACTCTGCTATGTGGGATTCTCAATGTCAAAGTCAATAATCAACAAAAAGATTCAATTGCCAAGCGCCAAGAAATCAAATTATGGTGTATTAGAACAGACCACTACATCACTTAACCCACCAACTCATCAGCATGCGGTGTCCTCTTGGACCAAGAATGCACAATGAGCGAGAAAATTACTGCAAATGAATCGCTTCCTTCGATTCAGCAGTATGTCAATAGCGTCTTGGGTCCACATTGACGCCGGGCACGATTTAAGGGCGACCGCTTTTGTGGCAGCATAATTTTTGGCACATGCTGGAAGACGGTTCAGTCAATTTTACTTTACATTCTAGTCAATGTCACAGAAGTCTACATACTGTACAAACATATTCAATCCGTGCACAAATCAGGAGGCTATCCAGATCCATACTGAGAATTGTCTCTATCCAGCGAGTGACGTACATCACCTTCGGACTTACTGTGCAGTTGACCGTCACGTGTTCTTGTAGGGGTGTAATCTTCATGTGATTCTCAGAGACAATATAATAATGAATATGCACTTGCGATATATAACCAGACGTGACTGGATCATGCTTGGAGCCGCCATGTGCGTCTCACTGCAATCTAGCCTACATTTTCCATTCATTTCGTTCCAGGTGCACAGTGCTTTGGAAGTCTTAAATAGATTGCCCTAAAACAGCTATGACAACGATGAAGCGACCACTTAATTGCTGATTCACCCGAAAGTTCAGCTTTCAACTTGAGAATAGGTAGGCGCAAACATTCTAGTTAATATCCAAAACCCGTGGATTGTTTGGTCTACAGTAGTTTGTTTGGACACAAAGCAAAGGGTATAGAAAAGCCGGGATGGTAGTATTCTAGATGAAAACAGCCCCGAGAATAAAATTGTCCAGTATCCACACAAATATGTTACTCTGACTAGTATGGTCAAGTACAGAAGTCACTTGATTCTTGTAATTGTGTAGTGATAGCTTGGGTAACATTCCTTTTATTCGTTGCTTAGAAAGCTGGCTACTCAGCCGTTCCTGACTTCAAAACAAATTTCGGTCTGAAGAATTTTCTCCATCTCCGTCCTTTGCTCTTGCCCTTGTAACATTTGCGTCCCGAGGCCATTTTAAACATAGGTAACTTTCAAAAAACACATAAAATGTCCCATTAAAACCCGGAGTACAATATGGGACTGCTGAAACTGGTCTCGGGTGTCATCAAAGTTGAAACCCCCTGATGCTAGTATCAGCTCCTGCTCAAGTTTGCTCCTTACAGTACCAGATTTAGAGTGATCCATTCGCCAGAATTCATGGACTAACCTTCATAACGACATTGAAGTATATCGACCCATTAACAGAGGCTCCGAGCTGAAGAAGCTTGCGGCCTACTGCACGTTTTGAATCCCATCCAACTTGGTTGCGTAGTATGAATCAATCATCTCTACGTAAGTTATCCCGATTTAGCACCATGCTACATTTATTACCGTAATACACTACGAATCAAGGAGTGAATAGAGGTTTTATTTACGGACACTTGTGTTCGGACATGCATCCTATCAAGATTGCCAACTCTTTAGTGGAACCACACAACGAAAAATCACGCGTGCTCAGGTTTTTCACCCGAGTGAAAGTAGTAGTTTCACGTTGTTGGATCCGGCTTCTCATGTGAAAGGGCTGAGCGTATAATGTATAAGCCGTATCCAAAGTCGTCCACTCACGTCAATGTTCACTTACTTGCACTTTTTTAGATCTCAGTTTCCAAAGCCTCAAGAGAACCAAAATTCTAAGCGTTCTTTACATACATGCTTATGTTCGGCACTATAACCCAATTTCATATTTGTTGTAATTTTCGTTAGCCAGAGGAGGTACTGGTCTCATGAAAACAACATGGGCCTGTAACATCCCAGTGAGAAAATGATAGCTGTCGCGCTGACCTTTCTCGCGATGACATGAGAGTGCTCATTTGCAAACTTTGAGAGCAATTTATTTCAGATACTGTTACAAAGATGCTGTCTAATTGACTGTCCGGACTACTGTGACCTTCCGATCCTAGGTTTAATTATTCCATCATTTCATGACTGCCCCCGCTTGAGGGGCGTAGTTCGGCCTCAGGCTGACAACAGGAACTTCGAAGATGGAGGACACGGAGGCCAATTTCTCAGCATCAGTGACAATCAAGATAGGCTGCGCATTTGGATGGAGATGGCGTTGTGCAGCTTTCAGTACATCAAGGGCCGTGGTTGCCTCAACTCCCCTTTTGTATTTGAAGAGGAAATCTTGATCAATACCAAAGAGCTCGTAGGAGAGAACCCGCACTAATTGTGAACCACTGTCAAGAAGCGAAGATGTAGTCAGCGTTTCCACCCACACAATATATATACGAGTATCATGGCTTCATAAAGCTATTTCATTTTCATACCAGAATTTACAATTTACAGAAGAAACTCTCCAGTGGCTTCAAAAAGCCAACTCACCTTAGCATCAGAACTCACAATTAAAAGCTCTCAAAACTTTGCCTTAGGCCTCAAGTTTATCTTAGATAGGAACAACTGTTTTGGAAGATGTCAGGTAAGAGGGCTGCTGCCTGATGTGGATTAGCGGGTGACCTGTTGGAAAAACCTCGTATAATGCGCAGGTAAAACAAGAAAAAAGACCTCAGATGGTAACTACACGATAAAAGAAGATATCAAGTACCTTGAACCCGGTCAAAGATACTCAATTTGCGCCGATACAGTAAATTAACTGGACTAACTACTTCCTTCTTTGCCTGAAGGCGACTCAAATACTAAGATCCGCACTTAGTCAGGGCGGTTTGATGTAAATTGACACCTAAAATTTGCCTGTGACCTGGGGCATGATTTCTTTCTACATATATCATTGAGAAAGGCAAAGTTGTAAAACCTGTTCGAAAAGTACATCTACAAAGATGTGGGTCGAGCATAGAACACACTATATCCCATATCAATCGCGCGCTAACATAACTCGAGGAATCCAATTTCCGGTCAAGCGAAATGTGTACTTCAGAAAGAAATGGACCCACCAAACTCAATGTGGAATCAAAACTTAGAATAGTGCTGTTCAGACTTGAATGACAGCAACCACCCAATTCTACGTCCCTGACCTGATACACGACGTTCTTTAGCTGCAAGTTATAAGCTTATCTTGGCATCGTACAACCTATCGCTGACGGGATGTATTGAGAAAGGAAACGTCGCCGTTGTTGAGAGAAGAAAACCCTGAATGCTATGGGCCAAGCCTCCACAACGGATTGGCTCTAAGAACAATCTATATGTCTAATGGGAAAAAGCATATGAACTATGACATTTCTCACTGCTATGACCTACATATAACACAAAGAAGAAGAAGATGTGGACGTTGAAACGGAAGCAAGAGAGAGAAGAAGCAGAAGAAGAACAATACTCTCCAGTGTTCCTTTAAGACCTTCATTATTCTCTATCAATTTCGTTAAGTGGCGAAACCCGATCCCAGAAACCTCATTCACCAAGAAACAATGGTACTGAGCCATATGACATGAATAGACTCTCATCGACCGATGAGAGTCTAGTCTAACTTTTGGCTCTAGGTGCTCTGAAACCAGGCCATCGGCCTGGATTCTTTCACCACAGACATCACCACAGGTTTGGATTTACACCCCTACCTGTCTGCGAAGTTGAAGACGAAAGAATTCAGAGCTGCTTCTTTAGCTCTCGCCAGTGAATCTGTAATGAACAATTCTAGTCAAACACGAGATCTTACACGAGATCCAGCTGCAAACTTGAGCTTTAGTAATACAGTTCTAAATCTTGCGAGAGACAACGTAAAGATATATTCGGTACCTGAATCAGCAAGATTTGATGTCACGCTATTAAGCACCCGCTGCACAGCTTGGACAAATTGTGGTATGGCTTGTACTCGAGTCTCACCTCCTGCTATGAAAGCTCCCTAAAATGATTACATCGCAAAACACGTCAAAAACTTGCTTCTTTCTTCAAAAGTTGGTATTCAGAATGAATGAAACCAAAGCAATGTTTTTCCAAAAGTTAAACGTATCGCATACTTTCAACAGGAAAGCTTACCCTGTGTTCAATGGCAGGTGACCAGCCACCTGAAACGGAGTATGCGAGGCCCTCACGTGATCGGACCTGCAGACACAAAATTCACGTGAGCTACCTTTATGCTACTTTTTACTTTCCGGAATTGACGACCGAGCCTATCGGAAATTCTTTTGGAAAGGTAACCAGCCGTGAAGAACACAGTAGTCCGATCTTTCAATGGCTGATGTTTAGGTTTTCAGGTATAAGGAGAGCGGCAATATCCTTCAGTCTTCTCCAACTCCAAGTAAAGATGAAACAAAAATTGTTGCAAAGGATGAAGTGTGGAGTTCCACCTCATCAAATAGAAGGCCTCCAAAACCGTTCAAGATCCCGTTGAGAACATCCAGGGCAAACACATCGTCATCCGCTAAAGTTGTTCCAAACTCCCCCATACGAACATACCTGGACCCCAGTCACTTTCCTATCTTATCAAATCTTCCCTTGGTAAAACCCAATTCGCACGGAAAAAGGCGAGAAACGAGAGAGAGAACGGGGACACCATATGGGAACTAGAACAAGCCGCGAACTACACGTGTGCTTCACTATTGATCAATGTTCCACAACTAAACTCTACTCACAGTACTTGCCTGTCAAAAACTGAAGACCAAAGACCATACTTCGAGGCTGAGGGATGCTAGTAGCATGAAAGAGTAAGAAGAGTTCCACAAGTAAATAAGAAACGACTAATATTTTTGCAATCGAAATTTGGATGCACTGACAAGAGGCCCGCTCAAATCGTGGTGATTTTTGGAATTTACCCCTGAGTCAATCCAGGTCGATCAATGACGTACACAGAAGGTGTACTAGAAGCGAATCCAGTTTCGAGTGGAGTAGCAATGTCTGACACCGGAAAGGGAGAACCTTGTGTTGAGACAGTCCAACCCCCAAATCGGTCCCCGACCATTTTTTTTACAGCCTTTGAATTAAAATCACCCCAGATCCCAAGGACTCCTTTCTCTGGTCTGCATATAACAGATACTTTGTAAAAAACTCCGTCAGTCTCCATCAAAGATACCAAAAGAAGACCAAAGTAGTTGAAGTCAGGGACTAGACAATGTTGGACTCTGACAAGCAGGTGATCACTTTAGTCTTACTGCTAGAATTACAATCGTCCACCTTAAACCACACAGTCGTGTATGAAAAATGAACCGTGGAGATGATAATGCGAATAGTTCCAGAGAAAGGAAGTTTGATCCATTATAGCGACCATGTGACAGGACTCATAGAGATTTGCTTCGCGCATTACTAGTTTACATTGAATTCGGTTTCATTCAGTACTTGATAGACCATATCAATCTCAGAAGTAAGAAGAGATATTTCAGTATAATGAAAAACGGGCAAACCGGAAATTCTGGCGATGAAAGGCTCGCAGGTCATCTCTGCTAATAGCATTGACCGTAGAAATTTCAGGCACACGAGCATATACACTTTCACTGCCGTAGAGAAGTTTACTGAACTCTCTCGCGGCTATACCTCCTGCCTGAGCTCGCAAACAAACCACAGGTTGGAGCTTCTGATGTCTCATCAATAAGCCACCAACTTGGACTACCTGATATAAAAGCATACTTCGAAAAATCTCATGAGTCAGCTTCTTCATCCATGTAGAAAGTGTGTTGGGATAAGAAGACGTACATCATCTGCGCGCCTAGCTATACCTCCTAAAAACTGAGAACGCGTGAACTCCAACTTTTCCTGCGGCATCAGAGGTTCCTGTACCACTGCCAAGCGTAAAGAATATCATGAGACAGAGAATGAATCTGCTTATGTGTAACATAACCGTTGGCTTCCAAGACGCTATTTCGGAACGTACGATGTTTCACTCAGAACAAACAATAGAGCAGGTATAGATGTGAACACTGTAAAATAAATATCAAGATAGAAACTCTTATAGTAGACGTTCAGATAAAGTCAATATTAAAACGTGTCAATAAGGCCATATACCTTCAGAAAACAAAGAGAACACAGTGTTCACGTCCTCCGTCAAGCATCGGAAGCCAACAGTCATTTCTGACACACTCGACGATGCCTCTATTCGGGCGGCCATGACCTGCAATTTATCACATATAACAGACAAGGTAAGAGTGACTATTGGAATTTTAGCAGCAATAGATATATGGCAAACCTCAGATCGCATAAAGTTTTCCAGACAACAGCTAGTAATAGAATACGTAGTTCCATGAAGCAAGAAAACAATGCGAGAGTTTGCAATGGAGCTGGTTGCCTTGAATACTACGCTTGGACAAACACCAAAATATGCTAAAAATCATCTTCCAGAATGTGCTCCCCAGCAGTCAGATGCTACCTCGAGAAGATATTTAATTGTTGCCCTCGATATGAACTAGTTTTGTGAGGGAATTGACGGCATGATACGTTGAAGAACTCGCTCCAGAGAAGGCCACTGATGATGTGACTCAGCATTCAACTTCTCTGACTTGCACAAGTAACGTGATAGAGATACGAACAATACAAATGAGAAGAAAAGACATGTTTACCTCCAACTTAGAATCCAACTCCTCGGCTGGATGTGTTTGAGTACCTCCACTTCGCTGAACGATAGCTGACATTGCAGCCAGTCCCACCTTCAACATAACATCAGACTGAGCGTTGGAACCCTGGGCCCTAAACACTCGCCATTCCATACTTTCAAAGACTAGTCACCACAAGCACAGGATATACACACGCTGTACACTCCTTGACGTGACATGTTTTGCACATGATTTATATTCACGATCCACAACACGCAGGACACATATATCGAAAACAATTATTTTCAAGTCATCAAACTGGATAGTTTATGTTCTAATAATTTCATAGCAGGTGGAACAAGTTCAGAAGCGATTCCAACGTGATTCCTGAACAGTATTTACCATCTATTCATTACCAGCAAGCAGTGCTGATCAGGAACTTATACCTTGTCTCCAGGCTCAAGCCTACCACCACCTCGAACAAGTAGCTCACCCCCAACCTGCACATTAAGAAGGAAGAACATGAACGCATAACAATTCCATTGCTATCGGCAGCTGATTATCTGTACACAAACTGAAACGATCATGACTGTGATTTCAGTAAAGAAAGTGCGTCTAACAAAACAGGTAAATAAAACAAAAAACAAACAAAAAAGGAAAAAAGGTAGCTGTCTCCAGATGTACATGAGGATGCGAATATCTCGCCTAAGGATGCCCACTAAATCGTGCAGACGGTTATTAGGAAGATAACAGGGAGTATCAACAGCATAAATGCAGGGACATACCAGGCCCAGTTCATGATCTTCCAATAAGAATACTCGCAGTCCGTTTGGCAAAGTAAACTGCCAGACATTTGCAGAACATTGACATAAGTTGTACGTCCCAAAGATCTATCATTTCAACCTAGGAAGAGAAAAAACCATTTGAGTTCCACAATTATCAGAGGCGTCGAATAATAAAGGCGAGAGTCCATCTATGCAAAGCACTACTGGCCATCAAACAGAGCTTGGACTACAAAATGAGCCGTATAGGGACCACAAGAAGGAAGATCCTAGGATGAACGATGTCACCTGCTTACACTATCAAAAATTTTACAATCTAACTTATGTTTATTATATTTACAGGAAAAGGTGAAAGGAGAATTTGGCAAAGAAAAGTACACTCAAAACTACAGTTATATTCTTGAAAAGAAACTCTCAATGGCAAGTGATGAAGTATTCATAAACCTGCTCATATGCTAGCGGGGTTATGTCCCCCAAATCAGGAAACTCCGTTGGAAGTAAAGGCAAGTCGATGCTTCTTGCAATGCTCGGTAAATGTGGCAAAGTTTCACCTAAGCTGTGATAATAAATGTCAAGTATGTCGCATTCGTTCTACCAATCAATAAACTGGACCGACTTATTCTGGTGATTGACCCCTTGAAAGGGTATTGACTAAAATTTACTTGGCTATTATAAATATACTACACCTATATCGCTTTGCTGTAAGCACAATAAACCATATCTTGATTCGACAACCTTATGGCTGCGTTCAGCACCATGTCATCGAATGTCGAACAATTCTTCATGAAAATGACAAAGCTGAGTCCCTTGCTTCAAAAGCGAATATGAAGAAACAGATCTTTGGTCCTTTCTAATGATGAATACAGTTGACTGCCCTCAAAATATAGTACATACATCAAGTACTGAAGCAAAACTGTAAGAAATTTTCAGGGGATAGTCTGCAGACCTGGGTGGCGTTTGAGTGGCTATTCCAAAGAGGGCCGAGGATAAAAGTGATATGAGAAAACGGCGGCCAAACCCCGAAGCTTCGATTCCTGAAAACAAGTTACTTCCCGACTGTCGCAATGCATCATACAAACGGCAGAATCCCGACCTCAGTACGTTGTTTTCGGGGAGTGACTTGGTTATTTGGCGTGCTGAAGGTGGTCCTCTGGCGTGAAATTCAGGTGTCGAAAAGCGGCTGCTGAATGATTTAGCAAAAAATCTTTCCCTGCGAAGTACGGCTGCGATTCGACTGTTTTCTTGAGAACACAAATAGCCTGCAGTACGGAATAGCCAAATTAGAACAATAAAATTGTGAATTTACTGGTACTGCCACGAGCTTTTCTTCAATTCATCATAGTTTGCATTTTCTTCATTCCGATGGCTTCAAGCATTTCACTTGTTGGTAAGCGTGTGAAACCAGCCTCTTGTGAAGTACCAAAATCCGAATTTCTTCCAGCTGGCGCTTGTATCAGAGAGGTTGACGTTTGTCTCTGACTAAAAGATTTCATGTGCAGTTGCAGCTCCAGTTCGGTGCCACCCTGTCCGGGTCCTCCGGTTGCTTTTATAGACGTCCTGCATCTTCTGAAATTCTTCACACTGCGCTGATTGTTCCAACTAGCTTTCTTTTCTGTCCGGCAAGTGGTTTCACGTATCAAACGAAAACCCGAAGATTTGCCGACGATTTGGGCATGCTGTAGATCCATCTTGATAGAGGTGGAATTCAATACCCCGTGCACAACTTCAACTGTTTGATGACGACTGCAACGAATGCGGAGTTCTACTTTGGATAGGCTTGGTGTGGATTGACGCAAAGCATTTACCATCCACAATCTTCATCTTCTCTCGCCATGCCCATCATCTACTACCAAGATCTTGCCAATTCAACCAGACTCCAGAACAGGCTTTGATCGTAAGGAAATAGGGAAATTGCGATATCTCGAACAGCGACAATCAGACCGACCCGATACTGAAAAGAATGAGAATCATGTGAATTAGCAAGGCTGAATACACTATGACAAAATCAGTCTCAAGCAATATCTGAAGCAAAACAAAAGGTTGCTATAGGTGAAGAATAGTAGATTGAGGAGAATCAATAAATTACTTCCATAGATATAGCAAAGCACATTACGCCCGTGCTGGGGTTATGGCCGACGTTAAGGACAGAGTACACACAACTTGGAATGAACTGTAAAGGTTTAATTTTGTTTAATACAGTAGAACCTCTATAATCTTATCAAGCTTGGACCGGCACTTTTTTATAAGTTTATAGAGGTGATAAATTTCTAGAGTTTATTAAAATTGATTCATTTAATTTTGCTTGATTGGTCTCAGAACCATCCAGAAAGTTGCAGAAAGGTTAGGAAGGTTATTGCAAAGAATGCAGGACCTCGAAAAGACATAGAAGTTGTTTGATACCCAGGTTCCGTGTGTATTGGCTGTGGTATTGTAATGGGGTGTGTAGGGCACTGTATCCTGGCGTACTGTATACAGTTGGACTGTGTAGAAGAAAACTTCTCAAAATGTAAACAACTTAACCCAGGAAAATCCCTAACACACGTAAGATACTTAAGCAGCCAACAAACAAATGTGAACAAAAGCTTAGGCAGACAACCATTACAAGTTTCTTTAGTCGATCATAGTCCTACAAAGGTAGCTCGGAAAGCACATCAACCTGAATATAAGTTTATAAAAAATTCGGGGCAGCCAAAACTTGATAAGTTATAAGATTATAAATTTTTGGCCTAGTCCCATGCCGGTACCGCACAATTTGATAAATTTTTGGAGGTTATAAATTTATGGAGTATAAATTTATAGAGGTTCTACTGTAGCATGCTCGATTAGGGAAAAAAGTCTACAATTTAGAGTCTTATACACAAGGATAACCAAGGTAGAAGTACGAATAAGTTTACAAAGAAAAAACATGATAATTTTAGCTGTAAATTTTGTCAAGGTTTGATATATATCACATCTATCATCGTCTTTTTTTTTGTCATGATTTCACTTTATATAATTTATCTTAAAAATGAAATCAGAATGTTTGAATATTCAATAAAAAGTAATTTTCGTTGTATACAATTCAAATTTAAAACTTTTATATCTTAACATGTTGATTTTTTTATTTTATCAAGCAAGTAGGCTATTAAACCTGAAATCAATATTTGATTTCAGGTTTTCAAGTTTTCTTATATATGTATATACATATATATGAATTTATCACTTTAATAATAAACTTACAACATCTTGAGATCTAGCATATACATAAATGATTATGACAAATTTTAATCAAATTTAAAAATTTAATTTCGCTACAATAAAAATGGACAAAATCAGCACATAAGTCAAAAAATTCTAAAAGCATAAAATAAAATAAATATATATTATAAAAGAAGACAAAAATTTGTCTTTGATACAAATTATCTATATTTTTAGGCATTTTTTTTCTTGCATGTATTTTGCTTGACTGATTGTAATCGATCAAGCAAAATTTTAGTTTTTTTTTATCTCATCTAAATCCTCAAGTAAATCAACAGATATTTTATGTTTGATTTTTTGGTAGTATTTTTTTTCCGATCTAGGTGTATGTAGAATATTCTTCTCTCCTTGCAATCCAGCAAACTCGCTTAAAAATAAGTTGCAATTGATCAAAATATGAATGAAATCTATGGTTATGACGTAAGTTTCATCAGGAATAAAATAATAAACTACATAAAAAAATTTAATCACTAAAATTTGATTTAACCTACCAACAATTCATAGATTGAGTTGATATTGTTTTGAAAGAAAGGTAAAATTAATCAACTACATCAAGATTGCATCATTTGAATAGATTAATTATTTTCAAAATGTGATGTTTTATGTTAGAGCTATGTAGAACAATAAAAGCTTTGTGATTTAAAACTTTTGCTGATCGCTACAGCTATTATATCAAATTATAATTTTGAGTTTTCATATCATGGCAAATAGTATCTTAGTTAATCTAAACTACATAATTTTTAAAATAAAATTATTATCTTTTGAAATCTACACAATTTTTTAAATGTTTTAATATTTCTAAGATCATTGAAATTTTGGTGAAAAAATTATATTAGAGTTGAAACTCATAAAATAGATTAATCAAACTATTTATTTGTTGAAGTTGGTATTTGGTGACAACAATAAATGTAATTCAATTTGAAATTTTTTACTTTCAGTTAAAAAGTAAGTATTGCAAGTCTTGTACAAAGTATGTTTTGTTCACAAATTTTTTTTAAGTTTATCACATGTAATCAATCATAAATTAAATAAGAATAGAGGACTAAAATGCATGAAAATATATTATCTTCATGCATCACAACTTTATCCAAAAATCTAAATCTATCAATTTGTAGAATTTTAGAGTGAAAAATTTACACATGTTGTATTTCTCATAGTTTGAGAGCATATTTATCAAGCTAATTATATTTTTTTCTTTATTTTTATTTATGTGTGCAACTCTGAATTGATAAAATCTAATGGATTAAAATATAAAGAGTTTTATCTCATGGCCAAATTTGTCAATCAGAATCTAAGAAAAAAAATAAACATAAATGTATTTAAATACAATTCAAAATTGATGAAATATTTTCTACAAAAAAAACAAGAAGCAAGATTAAGATATATTTAAAAATATATATTTAAGTCTTATTCGAAATTTCACAAATTGTTAATGTATTCATCATTAAAAAGTCAAGTTGACTGAAACTCAATAATGATAAAAATAATTCTTCAAAAGTTAAAAATATATGAGGAATTTTTTAATTCATCTCCTACAAGCTTAATCCAATATTCAAAGAGCTTGTCATTGCTTTACTTCAAAGATGAATATATACTCATGCAAAGTTGCAATAGTTTAGAAAAAAATCATAATGTTTAATATCTTGATGTGTAACTTTCATGTGCTTACAAAGATCAATTGCAAAAATGCATCTCCAATTTGCTATAGAGCATGTATGATGAACTTGTAAAATAATGTACACCAAAATTTAACAATTTGAAATCATTTTAAAATAATAATAAAAATTCAAAAAGATCATGAATAATTTTATTCTTGATTTATGTTTAGAAACTTGTAGTTTTTACTAGAATATAAAATTTTAATCTAGAACATGATTTAAAGTTCATTTTAAATTAACAATATTTTGAATTTATATATATATATAATAGTATAATATATTTTATTTAGTCTTGTTATGCATAGTTACATTATGTGTTCAAATTTTTTCAACAAATAATTTTGATATAATGATATAAAATGTAAATGTATCTACTATTTTTATCAAACACATAATTTGATGCAAGATCTAATGTATTTTTACCATAATATCAAAAAATTACAACACAAAAATAGAATAAAATTATATGATAATTTAAAAAATCAAGTAAAAATATTTTTTTTTGCAATATTGCTACATATGTAGTTTTAGTAATTTTTTTATTGACTAATTAATTGAGCTATGAATTTTTGCAAAAAGATTTCCACATTATATATTTCTTAAGTATGAACACATCTTTGGTTGTAAACTTTTTTTTTTCATTTTATGTAGGTTTTTGAAATATGAGCACTTTCAATAAAACATGACTAGAATTGGTATTGAGGCATTTCATAAAACTTGTCATGGTATTCTAAAATTTTGAGTCACCTAACAATTCACTTCATATGCTTGGAATGCATTTATAATAGATATATATATATATATATATATATATATATATATCTTCAGCTTCATCATAACTGGATTATTATCCTATCCGGCGCAAAACATCAAGTATATGAAATTGTACACTATAAATTATTTTAACGAATATTTATATAATTGATAGTGTACAGTAACATATGAAAATCTATGGATGAATATTTAAATTTAGATCAATGAAAATTAATCTGTTATAATTTTCCAATGTATGTTACAAAAATTCAAAAAATAAATTCACATGAAATGTCATGTTAAAAGTATATGTCTTGACTTAATACTCGCCATTTTGATTTATAATGAAACTTTAAAACATAATAAATTTCTTATTTATTTTAAAACATTAAAATCATAAGTCAGATATGATTGCTTGGATATTTGATTTTGAATGCAAATTTTATCAAACTTTGGTTTCAATCAATATATATAAATATTTCAACAAACGAATGAGCTTGTTATTCATACAAACTTTCCAAAATAATAAAATTGAATGTTTTTCTGTACATACACATGATCAAACAACTTATGAAATGTTTTGGAAACCTCATTAAAATTTTCATTAAATATTTAGTAACATGTTTTAATCTCTAAAATTTTAAAAATTTACCAATCTCTAAACAAAATTTCTGTTTTTTTATTTATGTAATTTAATCAGTTATCTTATGTAGATATTATGTATTTAAAATTTGAAAATAAAAAATAAAAAAATGTAAATGATTTATAACCAAATCAAATATTGAGACAAGTTTGAATATAAGTCAAATTGTAGTAAAATATGTTACTTTTAATCAAATTAATAGAGTGCATTTTTAATATTCTAAAAATTTTTAATATATCATGTTGGATTTAAAGATTAATTTATGACCATTCTATGTATTAATATTGTGATAATTATAATTATAACTATAAGAAAAAATGATAAGAAAAAAATTTATTATAGTTATCTCACCTCTCTATAATCATGATTTATCTTTTGATAAATTTTCTTCTTGTGTTATAATTAATAGAAATTAAAAAAGAAACAAGTGATCAGAAAAAATTGACAAAAAGTCATAACACGAATTGATGCAAAAGGTAATGTGATTCATCTTCTAAGTACTACGTCCACAATAGGAAACACAAGAGAGTGTATTGCAAGTGGTAAAAGTATCGTGTATAGTTTGAAGTATGTGGTTTCATGATGGGATATTAACCCATGATGTAAATTATTCTTAGCTATACTTAGCTAGTATCAAGATTACTCTTTAATAGGGTTTAATCTCAACAATCTCCCCCTTGATTGATGTTAAACAAAACAATTTTCTCCATAACTTATATTATTACTTCATGACAAATTCTAGAAAGAATCCTAACACAAATTCAGTCTTGTACATCAAAATTAACTAGAACTAAACTGTAACCATAGCATGATAAAGTAATAACATAAAAAGAAAAAAACCCGTTAGCATAGAGAAACAATAACCTCAATAATATATATAATTATTCCGCGAGAAGTTCTAGAAAAAAATCTAACACAATTTCACTTTTGTCAACCAGAGTTAACTAGAATTAAGTCGCAATTATGCCCTGATAGAGTTATAATACAAAAAAATTAATAAATCTAACATATAAAGAACAATAACTCCAATAACCTTTATACTTAACAATTTACAAATCCATCAAATCACATACGCTATCAACCTTGCTAATTAAACATGAGAAATTTGAGATAAAAATATAATCAAAAATTAAATTTGAGATAATAAATATCTCTACATAAAAAAATATATATCAATTAATTTCTATCATTTAAATTAGTATTAAAATCAGTTGAAAATTATCCAATTCAATTATTTATATTTCAAGATTTTAAACACATGCCAGGAGAATGTTGAAATTTAATAAACTAGATTTTTTAATCTTATTTTTAATTAGCTATGTATACAATAAAAATTAAACAGAATGAAAAAAGTGGTAATTTATAGTGAACTTGCTATAATTATCATGTGAGCAATGAGTTTGTTTGATAATAAAAAATTTGAGTTTATTAGTTGATCACAACACTTCAGCAATCTAGCATTATAGTGGATAAATCTGTCATGTTATCAATCCACAACGAGTAAACTATATAGTCTTGGTGAAATTTTACCTCTTTGAACATGTTGAAAATACTCATTTAAGCAAAAGTAAAATCGTAAGAGTAAATTTCATGTTGAAAATTTGTATCAACTTTTGAAGTATTTATTTTTAATAGATTCACTAACTTTCAAAGATTATAAGCACTTGCATATCACGTTTCACAATAAATATGTAATCAAGTTCATAGAGATTTGCTTAAGTACTCATATATAAACGAGATTTTTTTTAAACTAAAAAATAATATACACGTTTTGATCATCATCTTTAAACTCAATATGATGATTTTAAGGCTGTAGGAAAAAATTCATATTTACTACCTTTTCGGAGTTATAATTATTTACTTTTATGATTTTCAACTAGGAAAATTAGTTGTGTTTTATCAATTTATTTTTTATTACTAGAAATAAAGATTTGTGCTAAAGTCCAAACGAGCTAAATGACTCACTCTCTCTTCAAGTTTTTTTTCCATCTCAGAACTTTTAATGTTAATGAAAACTCGTGTTAAACTTTATGAGAAATGACTCATCACCGTTGATGACTCAAAAAGGAGCTAGTGCTAGATCTTGATGAGCTTATCGCAAATTAAAACATGTCAATAGTCATCATCACCTAAACCATTATTTAAATTTTGTCCCCCGCGCATGCTACACCATCGAGTAGATAGGCAATATCATTGATTTGTAAGCTAAAGAAATGTCCACTCATTATTGTTTAGATCTTACAAGGGTTACGCGGGATGAGAATAAGATTTCATTGCTCTAGTATCAATTGATAGTATGATTCAATATTCACGAGAAAATACAGACAGAAAAAAACTGATATATTTAACAAAAAAAATGTGTTTCAGCTATGTTAAGCTGTATCCACGGTGCTTACATGAATAGTTCCACTATCTCCATATGTATTCAGTATCGTAGAGGCTATACCAAATCTCTGTGTAACAATATTGTTTTCACAGAGGCTATACCAAATCTCTAATATAACAACATTTGCCCCTATTCTAACTAACCATGATCAGCTTAGTTAAGATTGACCAAGATTCCAGTTAAGTGACAAAATGTATTTCAGACGTCTATGTTCACAAACTGGAGAGCAGAAAACCAAATTATCAGAGAATATATTTTGGCGAACTTTAGCTAAGAAGTACGAAATTCTGGTTTTTGAAATTGGAGCCTGCATTGTCGTAATTCTTTGTTTCCTGAGGGTATTGAGTTTGCTGCTTTCAGTGCAGAGTTCTTATCTAGGAAGATGTCTTTAGGCAAGATTAAAAGTCCTGAGTAGAATAAAATATAAATTTCAAGATTACTGTATCTTTGCACACATCACAACATCATTGGAAATACCAACATTCACGGTATGTGGTACCACCACCATGTGTGTACCTAGGTGGTTTGAACCAAAGAACAATTTTGCTCCAGGACCATTTCTGGCGCAAAACCGGGTTCAAACGGGGGTTTGAGCCATGTCGTAGTATATAGGACTAATAGTAAACTCCATTGGTAGACAAAAAACGTCAGGGTAACTTCCAACTGGAACTCTAAAAAAACCCTGAAGCTGGCAATTTATTGCAATTCAACGTCTCATTCAAATATCCAATCAGCAAGTTATCTGCTTAAACCTTATATACAAGGATGATTTTCGCATGTAAACGAAGAGGCCCAGTCTTAGAACTAAATGTCTAGATCGTCATCTGGGTCTTCGTCCGAGTCCGGCAACTCATCATCCGAATCTCGTAGGTAATGGATTTCTCCGTAAGTCTTGTTGTCAACGGACACATCATGGTTCGTGAACTGCGAACTTTTGGGCTTGGTGCTCTTATCTACCAGAAGCCGGCTTGCCAGCTTTGAACCCTCCCTGCCATCGTATATTTCAACTTCCGAACCGTTACCTGCGTGGAAGCAGAAGTTTAGACCGCAAGGTAATTTGTGAGCATCATCTTAAGGAGACACAAAATGTACCTATGTGACTTGTTTATAACGACATAGAGGTAAGAACACCTGCTCATGGACTACAAGTTGAGACTAACATAACGGCAAAAGTACTCAAAATCAGAAAAATAAGAACCGTCATCGTGCTCTTAATCGCTACCAACTTACGAGTGAGCTAGGGAGTTAGGGCGGCCAGAAGTACGGAATCTATAGTGATAAGATATCCCTTGATGTTTATTCAACACGACGCAGAATTTTGGAGCCACAACAATGAATCTGCCCAGATTTCAATACCTTGATGTTCGAAAGGCAGAATCACATTTGCACGATCTTCACGCTCTTTTTCTGTCAATTCAAGATTAAATTGAACCTGCCAGACATGTGATTGAGAGTAAGTACATCTTCTACTAGTGCAGATAAAAAATGTCAGATCTACTGTTTTACAGCATTAATTCTCCGTTTTCACCTTGACACTCAGGGATACTATGGACATCCATATCCTAACAGAAGGGAGAAAAGTAATGACTCCATATAGTAGTACGAAGCAGTAATCTCGATTGCCATTCGGAACCAAGCAAACACAATTAACACACCTTGGGTGCAGTACTTTTCCCACTTTGAAGTGGAGTAAAGAGCTTCTCCACAGGGACAAAAGTAACGAGAGAAGGACCTAGGAGGAAACCCTCAACCTGTTCACGAACTCTGCCATTCCTGCGCTTTTGCCTGATTCGTACACTACCTCCGTCTTGACAGTTGTTCTCACTACCCTCAATATGCACCTCGGAGACTGGAGTCAAATAAATAACAGTTGATGCGAAATATTCAAATGTGGATAAGTCTCTGACTTCGTGTAAGTCGGCGTGCACCAAGAAGAGAAGGGCAGACACAGATTCTGCAGAAGGTAAACCAACGTAATTTTAACCATCGACACCAAGAACTTAGTCAGGTATGAATGGTACATGGTGATGACGAAGACCAGAAGAGCCAAAGGGTAACAAAACAAACAAACACACACATATACACAGAGAAACCAAGCTCATTCAAAATATCGAACTAATTAAAGCTCATAAAAATGAGACTGGTAAAAAACCTCAACGACCATCCTGATGCAAGCAATGGAAACTACTACATATCTACAGGAAGAGCCTGACAAGCAAGTTCAAATCACCAGAAAATAATGAATGCCGACTTTTAACATCATGATATAAAAGACACTTAATTTTCTCACCCTCAGACTGGTCCAAATTAAGAAATACGAAAGGCGTTTGTTCCTGATACTTCCACGTACAGAAGGAAGTCACATCTGCATAGCCTACCATGAGAGCGTAGCCCGTTGAGGAAGTTCATTAACACTGGTAAGGTATGAAATCTCAACAAGGTACTTATCTGCAAACTTGCAGGATAAACGTTCAAAACAACTTAGTGCCGTAGAGACAGATATCATGAAACGCTGCTATATTCGCAAGCATAAAGTCGTCAAGACAATCACGAAACCTCCACACGCTCTTTAGTTTACCGGCTCCATTATGACCAAGCGAAGAAACCAAAAGAAGTTAGACTGACCGGTGGTACCCACTGCCTAGAATTTGAGAGAGAGGAGGGAGAGAAGAATTCTCTACCAAACCCCTTCCCAACAAAATCAGAACAGTGCTCCTGGCTCACTCTACTCTGCAGCGGAAAGAAAAATCTCTTGACTACTGACAAGGTGAATTCAACCCATTGAAACTAGCATATTAACAAGGAGGTCGGACGCCATCTCCGTGCATCCTGCTATTGACTAACAACTACTATGCACTCTCGGGACTGTGAAAATTGTATGATTCAGGTTTTAAAGAGATTCATATTCAGAGCTGTGAGAGATATAAATCTGCTGTCACCAATCTCATTTCCACGTAAAAAATAGGAAAACAATGCATATCCTAGTGGCTCGCTCTCATCTTCTAAAAAATAATGCGAAGAGTCCAAAAACTAAGACAACTTCTCCATTTGTGTCCACACGGTCTCCGTTCATGACGTCTATAATATGAGCCAAAGTTCTTAAAATGGAACAGAAAGTAAAAAAACATCTACAGACAGTAAAAAATTATGAAGGAGTACTCACAGAATCAAATAATACTGCAAATCTTTCGGATGTTTGGTGACCAAGTGATGCTGCAAAGACATATATTGTGATCACTCATTCCCGTGTTCAATACCAATCTAAGTAAATGAGGAACTTATAACAACAGTCCAATCTCAGGCTATGGAACCACGAAAGGATCTATCATGGGTAAGGACGCTACAATGCACACCTATGCCGCGCTGAAGAATCAAAGATGTGAGGGCCTGTAGATTGCGAATGTCCTGGCAGCATGCTGATTGCTTTAGAGGTGTAACATCAACTCCACCTTCGGTACTGTTATCCCATCCTAGTGGATCACTGTAGCAGTCGAGGACCTGAAACCTTCTACATACAACAAGCCACATTCAACCTCTGGAACCTTCCTAACTTCTAGAACTCATAAGCACAATCTCTGGGCAAGAGCGAGGTTTTCTGACCAGTCTGCGGACGATGAATCCTTTTGGCGAGACGAAACTACATCGTTGAAGAACCCAAAAGGCCGTTCCATCGCCACTGTGACAATACCCCTGCAATAGGTGCTGAAAAGGATGAGTTTAAAACTGAAGTAACGAGGACGAATCTCAACAACTCCCAGATTGATCACACTAGCATACAATTTGAAAACAGCTATAGGTGTGTCAAAGAGGAGCTGTTCAAAAGTTGTGAGCGATTGAGCTGCGCTGCGGAGAAAGGACTGAATAATAGAAAGCTCACTTGGCTTGAGCTCGGCCTCTTGATACGTTCTCACATAAACCATTCAAAAAATGTTTTAAAATGTGTACACCCGCAGTTGTCTCCAACGAATCCTGTAGATAAACAACAGGAACCTGCTCTCCTTCGGTAACCCCATCTCTTAACTGTCTGCGCACGCTATCCGCCATATCCTCAAAATTGTTTCCACACTTTCAGCTTCTGCCTTCCCTCTTGTACGGAGCACCCGGCCACCCAATAAGTATATATTATACACAAGCTCAATTGAGAACCTCGCTAATTGCATCAACTGTTGACAGTATAGTTACGCTGTGTGCAAAAGGCGACGTTTGAAGCAATGTGCGAGATTGGCTTCTCCATGGAATCAGAGTGGAAGAACTACAGCGCGAAGTTGCGGAATAGGTTTGAATGGCTGCTACCAACTATCTATTTCTTCCTCGAATGTAAATACGGACGGAGAGGACAGGATTTGAAAGTGGACAGTCCACGAACATTTTCATCAATTGCATCCCCTCGACTGAATTCAAATCAATCACAGTGTCTCACATGGCTGAAAGAAGCTGTTTCCAGATCATTGAATTACCTTTTTCGTCGTGCAATTCTATGTCAGCACAGTAATAATCAGATTCACATTGCAATCGGGTAATATGCAATACATAGTCAGTAAGCCCTAGTGAGCATCACTTGTTGTCACACGACGCGGTACTTGAGATTTTTAGTATTGAGGCCACCGTCTCTATAGTTTACCATAAAATCTATGATTTATAAGCAACTCCTTGAAGAAAAAGACATCAAAATGTATTGATACCCAAAACTTTGATATATTTGCAATAAGAATGTTTAAGTCTTTATTCTCATTTGTATATTCGAAGTGTGTGAATGTCATAGGTGCATTTTTTACGATGATGGATTGAAAAAATGGACAAATATGTTCAACTAAAAAAAATCAATCATATGGAGTGTTTAGACTTTAATAAAAATCACATTGGATCAATGATATAGGGAAAAAAAATTTGAGGTGATTATGTTTTAAACTTAAGCAGATTGGTTGACTATTGCTGATCTAAATAAAACATGATAAGAACCAACTCTTTCCAACTTTCAAGTTGTAATTCAGATTGGACACATGATGGAATATTTGCAATTAGATAATGGTGTTAAATATACTTTTGAGTAGTTTCAAAGTAGTAGGGGATTATTGGTCATTTCACAACCGTTAATACTTTAAATAAATTGTTGTTTTAGAAAGTATCAACCTAATAATATTGAAGAAGGTGCGGATTATTTGAATCAATTTAAGTTTTCCATGTGAATTTTGGATCGAAGTTGTCAACATCCCAATTAATTTGGTAATTTTTTCTACTTCTAGTGCAATAAATTTTTCAACATTGTTTGAACTTAGTCATAAATGAATGGCAGAATATAGTCGTATGAGAAGTTTTGATTGTGCAGCTTATACCATCACATCCAAGGAGCATGGTATTAAATTAGATACTACATCTAAGATTGTTATTTTTTGAAATTTGCCAGAGGAGTGAAAGATTACAAGGCTATGAGATCCAGTAGCACGTAAAATGATTATTAATAATAATGTTTTTTTCAATGAGTCTAACTTACTTAAAGAAGTCTAGAGTTCTCAGACTTCCCTTACTGACAAGTGCAAATTTTCACTCACGGATGTTGTTGTGAGCAACTTTGATCATTATGTTACTAATGATGTGTCACAAAGAGAAGCATCAGTTCAAATGGATAAGTTCTTGAATATCTAGAGGAGTAGATTATCGTTGATGAGCCTCTTGTAACAGCATCAGACAATAGAGATCAATCGCAACCGCTTATTAATAGATCATTGCATTGTCTTAGTAGTACTCTTGAAAGGTTTGGTGTATGAGCCAATTCATTCCTTCTCAAAGATCAAGACTTTGATAGAGAGTATCGGATGATATTACATTGATCTTGGAAAAATGTGAAACTTCTTTGCATAAGAAGTTTTTAACCTTTGGTCAATAATTTTGAGTGAAATATTGTTATACAGCGAGAGATGCAATTGTTGATTGATAACAAGACTTGGAAGCTGGTTGAACTTTATTGGAATCAAGAAATGATTGACTCCAACTGGATGTACAAGCTGAAAGACAATCTAGTAGAAGATGATGCATAAATCTTCAAATCCATGTTCATGACTAGAGATTTAACACAAGAGAAGGATGTGGACTACAATAAAGTTTTTGCATCTAAAGCGAAATATGATACAACTCGTATGTGCACAGGCTGCAATATTCAATCTAGTTGTGGTCTGATGGATGTAATTGCAACTTTTTTTTATGAATATTTAGAAGATGTGATTTACATGACACAATCGATTGGTTTTGAGGTGAAAGGTCTGAAGAGTTTGATTTGTAAATTGCTGAAATTACTGCATGAACTGAAGCAATGAAGTACGCGGTTTGATGAGTTCATGAAGACACACGGATTCTTACGGGATGTGTATGATACTTTCAATCTTATCATTCTTGTGCTCTACGTTGATGATATGTTCATCTTGGCGAAGAATCAATGTAATGTTGATGAATGCAATCGGTTTGATATTGCTCTAACGATGGACAATGTGAGCAAGTACATGTCGAATCCATGTAAAGTTCACTAGTAAGTATTGAAATGAGTTTTGAGATATCTAAAGAGTACTATGGATATAATATATTGTTTGATGGTTTATTGGACAATGTCAAATCCTTGTTGAGCTTTGTTGATACTACCTACCGACATGATCTAGACAAATGGAAATTTACAATTGGGTATGTGTTTACACTTGGTTGTTAAAGCATTAATTGAAGATCTAACTTGCAGAAATGCGTTGATCAGTCCACATCGAATCTGAGTATGTGATAGCAACAGAAGTGGCAAAGGAAATTATTTAGTTGAAAAGGTTTATCATGGAGATGGGATTGACACAGTGCGTGATCAATCTTCATTGTGATAGCCAAAGTGCTCTACCTTTGGCTACGAACAAGCTTATAAATAATAAAATGACATCGACATCAGATATCATTTTATTAGACAATCAGTGTTTAATAAAACAATTGGGCTAGTGAAGATAAACGGTAAACTCAATTCAAACTAATGCGTTGATTAGAATTATTCATTTTAAGAATTTCAGGCGACATTGTGCTACTATGGAGGTTGTGCATGTAGACCATGTAGTTTGCTAGTATATTATTTTTTGTTGACTCTTTATATAATTAGTATATCATATGATGATTAGACTTAGTTCTAGTTAGTTTTTGGTATCAAGAGTTGTCATGTGTGAGCTTTCTATTTTGAAACATAACACAATTTTACGCAAATCAATTATAGGTTACATAGTTTATTGTTTTCTCTATGCTAGCAGATTTATTAGTTAACTCTTTGTATTATTACTCTAACATGTTATGGTTAAAGCTAAGTTTTACTTAACTCTAATTAACAAGAGTGACCTTGTGTTAGATTTCTTTTAAGAACTTCCCATGGAATAATTATAAAAGTTGCGAAGATTAATGTTTTCTTAACATGAATTAAATTGGAGATTGTTGAGGTTAACTCATGTTAAAAAATAACCTTGGTTTCTAGCTAATATGAATCTTCAGTTTGCCAGAACTAGGGGTATCTAATCCCAATGACCTCATATTGTGCAAGTACACTTTCATCATTGCAATACACTCATTCTCACGTGTTCTAGCTTTAATAATCGTGCATCTGGATGCATTACGTTATCTTCGTGTCCCGAGTTTACCATCTTGTGTTTAATCTCTAGCTGATTGTGATTTGGCTATTATTGTTTTACATGTCTAGAACTAACAATCTAATAAGCCATAGAGATCCAAAAATAATAATTAGTCATCATTGTATAGAAGATATTCTATGTGAGTCAAAAAGCTCTTTTACATATTCAGTTCAATATACATGTTACAAAAACATTGCTCAAACAAGAGTGTAGATCAGACTTGTTCATAAAAAAAAAGTTCAAAAGTATTCGTTACACTAACAGAGTCCGATAAAACCTTTGAGACATTATATTGAATTGAAGAGCTCCAATCTATTAAAAAATGAAAGAGGAAAAGACAAAAGCTTATGTGATGCCTTCAAACACAAAGCATATGAGATACTTTGTAGTGTCACATGTTGAGTTTATGAGCTCTTTGGATTCATGCGTACTTCTCATGAATGGATAATATTTCAATTGCAATGCCGAGGGATGGCATAGATGCAAAAAGTGTCTTGACTATCTTATGTGAATCACATGTTGGCTTTTGCATCGGCAATAACTCTAACCTCATCGACACGTTCGGCACGTTTTTCATCAGAGTCAGAACCATCAAATATTTAACCATGTTCAATGTCGACATGCATCCTCGTAATTCTCTTGTGAAACTTTCACAAGACAATTACTAATTCTTCTACTTACTTCGTTTTCGCATCTGTGTTTCTTTCGAAGTAGGTTTTCAAGAAAGTGGAACATTACATTGCCTTTTCATTAGTTGTATATAGCGTCATTGTGGTTTTGGTGCATTGTCAGATGTAATGCTCATTGAAACTACGTTGTTTACACTTTCTTTCACCAAAACCGCCCTATCATTTTCCTTTAGTTGTAGAGCGAAATCTTTTACAATCAAGTTCTGTTCAAAAAGCTCACCATTTTTTTCATCAGAATCTCTTTCTAAGCCCAATTGTTCAACTGTTTATACTCAAGTTTTCCTCCAAGTTACGCGCGGCAACGATCACATCAAATGACTACTGCTTCGATACTGTGTGTTCAATACCGTTCGTGATGCTGATGGGACCAGCCACGGCGTTGCGGGTTTCGTATACGGTGTTCAACTTGCCCACGCGCTCGTTATATACATAAATAGAGTGTTCAAAATATCAAACCATTTGCAGTGGAAATTAAACATCAAATGAACATTAGACTATGTTATTAATAGACATTCATAACTTTGGAAAAATCGCTGCAAGATGAGCAGTGTGGTGGATTAAGCGTGTTAAGAAGCACAACATAAACGAGAAAAGATGCGAAAACAAAGTAAACCACTAACTGCCCACATGCGAAAGGCAAAAGATCAGACAATCTCAGCTCAGGTCAAGTCGAAACCAAACAGACCGAGCTTGCGATCTACTGATATCAAGTGCTTGAGTTCGGATGTGAATCGGCCCATGAAAAATTTTACTCTAAATGATTACACACCAGGTTGGCAAACGCATGTATACACGAGCCATATTGGAAATTCCTATGTGCCGGCTTGCTAGTATATCCTGAAGGTTCGATGTTGGCTCTGTTCGATGTTCGAAGTATAGAACCCACTTACAGAAGATGCATGGCAAACTTAAATTGAGCATCTTCGACATAGAGAATGACCTCCAGGACTTCTGGCAGAAAACTCACTAACCCTGGCAAAACTGATGGAAGCCTACATGTAGTTGAATATAATTCTACACCTACCCGGAACTTTGGTCTCAAAGCATCTCCATGAAACTCCTCACAGATCCATAGGATCAATCTACATACAAAAAAAGCAAGCTTGTCAAACCTGGACGTCGTCCAGTCTATCGTCTGCGCATACCCCTTCCTCTGCCTGGCATACCTCTTCCCCGGCCTCTTCCACCCATACCGGCACCTCCTCCTTCCGCACTTTCAGACTGCACGTGACACAAACAAATATGAGAGAACTGCTGTGAAGGTTAACTGCACTACAGAGATGCATCATTGTGTATTACACTCGTTATCTTAAGAGAAGACCATTTGGAATACTTCGTCCTATGAACAGTTCTTGAAGTTTTGTTTCGACAAGAGCTTCCACTACCACATTCATGGGGACTTCGCAAATTATCGCAAACACGAGTCGCAAATGCAAAAGATTCTAGCTGCAATACGATAAGAAAGCACTTATCGTATGTGAAAAAACACACCAAAACAAAGACCTACAAAGATGATTATAAACAAGTAAATATTAAAAAATCACCGAAACCGGTACAACTTAGGCACTGAAATACCTTGGGGTTTCGAATGGTCTCATCTACACTCAGGATCAAACAAGCGGCTTCGGTAGCTGCAGTAAGCGCGTTAATCTATATGAAATACAAACCACCCGTTAAAATATGGACAAAGCAAATGCAGATCAGTTGCAAAAACTAAACAGAAGGGATGGCGCTAAGAATCAGAGAAGATTGAAACCCTCCACAGTACAAAGGAGCATTGATCCTTTGTCTCATCGAAAGTGAGACGTGTGTCGTCTCCACAATGAGAGATTTAATATCCAACTTGGTTAGCGCGAGTACTTCTCTGCACAAATTACTCACAACTGCAATTGGAACGACCTCAGTAGATTGTGAATTATTTCGTACCTTAACAACAGCTGGTTCCCAGACGAAATTAGCGAAGGTGTCCACGATCCCACCCGTGTTAATTTCAACTCCGAAGAGGGCTCCCTCGCCTGCAGACAGATGATGTGAGTCAGCTCTCAAAAGCCAACAGTGGAACTCACTTGAAAGTAGTCGAGAATAAGAACTGACAAGTGGATTCAGAACTTAAACGACAAGAAAAGTACAACACTACGAACTTCAAGAAGAAAAAGCTTTACCAGTGGCAAGCGCGTGCTTTTGACGGAGCTTGTTCAAAACATCTGTTGCGTCAAAGCCAGCGTTGTCACAGAGCTGCCTGGGAATGACTTCTAAGGCCTTTGCGTATGAGTTAATAAACAATTGTGATTTGCCAGCAATTGTTCGTGCGTGTTGACGTAAGTATCTGCTTATTTCCATCTGGACATGCACCAACGACACGTACAAGCTAAACTTGTCATTACCTAGGTTAGACAAGACATCAAGAATTCGAACGATGTAATCTTGTGTGATTTTAATCGACCAAAGATTCCCCTAACAGTCTTCCATCCAATGGATATTCTCAAGTAATAAATAATCTACATGACCCACCTAGTTATTGCCGCTTATGTGCAATAAAATTCGCCTTCAAGTAACAATTACCCGAACATATAGAGCACAAGTCATTCTCTAAGTAAAGAACCCCAGTGGGTTGTGAAAACCGAGAGAATTGAGCTCGCATGACACAGCTTATCCTTCATGCATGCTTATCCTGGGCAGCTTATCTTAGACGAAAGAAGGATAGGTTCCTCTAAAAGTACATCGTGATAACATGTGGTCGTTTATCAACAAAAAAGAAGACTCTGGACGTCAACCCCGTCACACAAGGCAATCGTCCAATTCCTCCGGATTTACTCACATCGATAGCCCCACCACCGGCAACAACGGTCGAATTCTTGTAAGCCCGACGCACAATCATGATGGCGTCGTGAAGACTCCTCTCAGCTTCCTCGATGAACTATGAACACGTAGTTTCCAGTACACCGTCCAAATTGTACTCATTAGTTTGTGCATGTTGTAGCATGAGAACAAAACCTAGCACCGTGGCTGAACGGCGCTCTTAGTTAAGAAGAGAGAGGTTGAGAACTGAGAGAAGAAAGGGACGAGGAGAACGCTGGTTGAGAGTGAAAAATGTTTTCAATTGAAGAATCTATCCATAGATCAAACTTCATTTTGAGCACTAAATAAGAGAAGAAAGCAGAAGATGAGAAAGGAAACAACACAACACATAACGCATCAGCCGGGAAATCAGTTCGTATTCTATTGGACAAACTAGAGTCAGCGCCTTTCCTTCAAGCAAGGAAAACGACTACTCATTGCTCGGGTTCTCGTACCTGATCTGCACCACCTCGTAGGACGATTGTGGCCGTATGCCCCGCGGGACACCCACTGAAGATGTTAAACCTTTCGTTGCCGACTTGCTTCTCCTCGAACCTCTCACATATACCAAGTACCTTTGCAACGACATAACGAATAATACGGTACTCAGACTTGGTGAAGCAAAAAACTTTGCAAGTTCTTGTTCGAACGACATAGAGCAGACCGCTACTTGTGAGCGAAGTGAGAAAAATAAAATCTAACGAACGGAATTTTGAATAAAATTGTCAAAATTGAGCAGCTCACCTCAGGAACGACATTGTTGACAGTGGTTTGCACAGCACCACCGGTAGCACTGGCAACCCGGTGTAGATCTTCTTCCATGACACGCCCGGCGCAGAAGACGTCTCTGTCGGCGAAGTACTGTATCAAACACGTTGTAAAAGTCAGAAGAAAAGAGGTAAAAGACTTACCGCATCTTTAATTTGACCCCCAATGATAAATTGACACGAAGCGTCATGAGATGGTACGATCAAGAGCCTAGACAAAGCTCACCTGAGTTGCCAAGTCTCCGATTGCCAGACGTGACAACACTATCTTAGCACCGCTCTTCACACATTTATCAAGCTTATCGTAAATGATGTTCCATTCGGCATCGACTATAGACTGATATTGAGTAGGATCCGATAACCTGGGGATGAAAGCCACATCATCAGGTAGCTGTAACCTCGGTGGAGCTCGATATGAAAAAACAGGATCTTGAAGTGCATCGGTGGTAAATTAGTGGGCAAAAGAATGAAGGTCTAAGCATGAAAAAACTCGCAGTTTGAGTAGGCGAAGGTGCACCTGACTTCCGCATTTTCCTTCTCGGATTTCAGCTCTAACTCCAAATTCAACAACAAAATTTTCGGGTTGTCGAAGCTCTTAGGCTGCTGCTCGAAACCAGCGTAAGAAAAAGTTTTCTTAAAAGCCACACCGTTGACAAGGAAGGAATCGCGCATGGTACCACCTTGGACCTGCATGTCAGCGAACTAGCTTAATAATACTACAATTACAGCATAATCGGGAGGAGACTTAGTCTCCTTCAGTACACGTATACAGAAGGAGATCCTCAATCTTCGCTAGCACTAGGTGGCAGTAAAGCATCAAACTAGACGGTGAGCATTAATTTGAAGACTTCATCTACAACCTTATTCTCAGTTTCCTATAAAGAAACAGCCAGAAAATTAATTCGATAACGTCATCCAATGCTAAGATGCACTGCAACTGAGGTGAAGAAAAAAGTGTGTAACAAGAAGGAAAGGGGACAGAAGGGCATGTTACTTCGTTGACCTGTACATTACCTTCTTAATTCCCAACATACTTAAACGACTCTCCTCACCAAGTTGAGTGACGGCATCAACAACCATCTTGGCAAAAAATTCTTTCTCTCCTCCTACAAGTTTCGAGCTCAAAGTAGTTGCTGCACATCTTTCCAACAAGGACTTCTTCTCTTCCAGGCTTTTGCCTTCAATGGATATTGCAAGCTCTTTGATCTTCTGGACAGCCTGCACAGAGAAAGTCGATATTAATTTAGTACATATTGCGGGCTACGGAGCATCAGGTTTTCCAATCTTTCAGGCACATCGAAATCAACTTTTCCAGTGTGTGGAGCAACGAAGTAATCTGGTGCACATCCCAAAGGTTTGTACCAGCTGGACGGCGGCCCGAAAACTGCGAATGATCAGCTGGGGATGGACCCCATCTTCAACAAAAGGCTTTGCTTCCCGCAAAAACTCTCCAGCCAGCAGAACAACGGTGGTAGTCCCATCACCAACCTGGAACACAACACATCCCAGTGACTTTGAACTGTAAGTTCCAATAAGAAAAAACTATCCGCGGTACATAAACAATGAAAGTTCGTGCTTTTGGTCAGATCCAAGATCACGAGAAGCTGTGTGACGAATCTTGCAGATAAAACCCTATACAGAAACTTCGAATCTACAAACATTCATCAGGAACTTCCGAATTGAAATGTCCACATTCGGTTAGTTATTCGATAATGGCCTTAACCGAATGCGGAGTCTTGGGGAGGAAGGCAATTTGACAGAGAAATCCTAGCAATTAACACAGGCTTAAAGCAGAGATCGAGGTTGAGGAGTTCTCCGAGCACATGTGCGAACCTCAGAGTCTTGCGATTTAGCTATGTCCACAAGAATCTTCGCTGCAGGATGCACAATGTCGAGAAGCTTCATGATAGTGGCTCCATCATTCGATATTGTTACGCCTTTATCACCGTGGATCAATTTGTCCATGCCGCGGGGCCCCAGAGTAGTGCGCACGGCATCCACAACAGCCATACAGGCATTGATGTTGCTGATGAGCTGAGGCTTTCCTTGAGAGGTATCTGTTCCCTCCTTCAGGAGAATAATCTGCGGTTGCTGCTCATATCACCCGATCATCCACGAGACAAAAATGTTATTCTCACATTGAGCCTCACGATCCGCAACATGACTTATCGATAAAAGAATCAAGAGCGGTGCTGTCGTCGAACACACGCGAAAGATTTTCCATCCCGATCAAAACTAGCTGCAAAATGCAGAAAATTTTTAAAACGAAACTTCTCCTCAGATTCCAGTCGCCTCCATACACCGCACTCGAACCCGAATCCCACACATTTCTACGTCATTTTCAAATCAAGTAGGTCTCTGATCCCTCAACGCTTGGGCGGCAAACCTGGCTTTCAACCCACAGAACGTAGCCAAACGTCACTAATACAGACACTCACCAACATATTAGACATGATCTTCAACAGCTGCAAGACGAGCACCACAAGCCTTCCGAAGCTCTACGACAACAAAACTCGCTCAGCAACCGATCGATGTCTTCCTGCTCCTCTTCTCTCTCGCTCTGTCATACAATCCTTCCTTCCCGTGCTCTTCGATGGACAAGAAGCAAGAAAGCCCGCGCTCGAACTCTTCCAGGAGCCCCCGAAAACCGGCAGCAGGAAAGATCTTCGTCACCACCGGATGTCCTTCCTGAACGCTGTTCTGAACCTTTCGATCAAAATCTACGGCAAAATGACGGACGCAAATATCAGACTATACGACAGTAGGTAAATGATCACTCACCGCGTAAGGGTAGAATGCAGTTGACATCGAGCTTAGGGTTTGTTCCGTGGTCGATGGGCAGAACAGGTAAGGGAAGGAAATGAGTCCGGGGACAGAGGATGAAGGCAAGGGAGCAATCAGCACCTGGGGGCCTGGGGGTTGAATCGGGAGAATTAATTCCATGGCCTCAGGAATCGGTGATTAGTTGCCTCTGCACGAAGACAACCGGGAATCGTTTTTTATTTTAGTTGAGAGGATTGTGAGCAATTGAACTTTGTAGTTTATGTGAATACAGAACTGGAATGTTGAGATGAGATGGTATTTTGGGAAGAATTATGGGATTTGAGTTAGTGAGAAGGAATCGCTCGCGGAATAGCAGTTACAGGAATTGACAGTTCGGATGGTTGCATTTAAAAATTTTCAATACGCGGTGTTGTGTGTTGCGTGAAGCACAACGCGGTTAGCTATTGCTGTGGGTGGGTCGGGACCTTTCATAAGGTGTCCATCGGGGAATGGTTGGAAGGAAGAGCAGAAGTAGAAGCCCAGTTGGATGATTTATCGGTATGGGGATGATTAGGTTCCTGCGAGGTGGATTATTATCGTGAATACGAAGAACTTTTGATGAACCTTGATTGTGCCGAGATGTCGATGGACTGGATGTCAGATGCAGTATCCAGGTTCATCCAAAGCCCCTCGTACTTACAGCCGCTGCTGGAATTCATCGATGAAAATTGTTCTGTGTTTGAAGACAAGGAGGCAAACAAGCTCGAGTACACAGTTGTGATTCTCGTCCTAAACTTTGTGTAATTCATCCGAATTAGCTGTATCGAAGTGACGTACTTGTTTGCACTGGTTTCTCATCATCTGAAACTTGTGAAATTCATCATTCATCATCACACATAAAGAAGAACCACTAAAGATGATGATTTATTTTCTCTCTGATAGTCGTTGATGAGTATGTATGTATTACCTGTGGAAGACAGTAAGATGAGATAATATTTGTGAGTCTGTGACAGATCCATGGTACCTTCAAGCAGCTTGTTGACGGTCTCATAAGTGACTACCTTGCTTCTTTGGACGTTCCTGTGCACGAGTTTGTACAGAACCTTGCCAGGTCTGTCCGCTAGAGATCTCTCATCCTTACAAGCAGTGAATGTCCCAAGAGAGGGTATTTAGATGTGACGTTCACCTAAAAGAAGTTTGATACAAATACTTTGAAGCCAGGGTATGTGGTCGTTCTATACATGTGAAATCGAAGTATCGCGTTTTGAAGTGCATCTCCGTGTCTCAAAGCGTGAAGCTCCTGACTTAGAGAATTACTGAGTTTCTTCAATTCTAGGACCTCACTCACAATTAGTTTTATACCTCAGCACCTATAGGGCTCTTCTCAGAGGTTGTGAGTCTGATCATTGGACGTATAGTGAGTTGCGTGATCTTGTATCAGTTTCAAAGCAATCATACTGTTGCTTTCAAACGCTGGGAGTTCTGCAGACTGGGTGTTGCACATTAGAGATGCAGTTCCTCGTCGTAGTTCCTTGTTTCTTTTATTCAGTAGCCAAGTCCGACGCTTTTTATCAGCATAAGAAGCTCTTTTGACTGACGTAGCAATGAATTTCCAGGCACATAAATGAAGAGGCTTACGACACCCTTGTGAAATCTATATTGACTGTTGATGATTTTGGCCTTTTTAAGGTACTCCCAGCGACACTTTGTCCTTTTATTCAAGCATCTTGCTCTTCTGCATGCTTCAATTATATTAAGCAGTACACATGCTTTCCCGTTGTGTATACAATTATCGGCCCTACTCCTAATCCAGTCACCCGAACTTCAATCCCCTGTTTTGCAATCTTCTGTGATGATAATTACACAAATATCATTGGTTTCTGTTTAACAAGTTGAAGTGTGCACAGTGTTGGGAGTAATTCCTTTCTCTTACCAGACTTTGTCATTCTAAATGATGTCGTGCTTTCTCAGTTTTAAATAGTGCACCATCCTATTCAACGCTTATCGTACAGGACATGATGTTGAAGCGGAACAGCCAGCTAGATGATGAGGATTGTATCTACGAACCTATGGATCTGGAACTTCTTGAAGGTGAATAAGGAAGCTATTGTTATTCTGTGGAAATCAGTTTGCATGATAATACCACCATTTTTACCAGCGGGGACGCGTAGATGGACGTTTGGCTCTTGATGTACTTCGCAGTGCAGCTGATTTCTGTTCTGATTGCCAGTACATGAACTCATGTCTTGATAATTCTTGTTTCCGTATTGTTTCCGTATTTAATCTGGTTATCTGTAGGCTTACAGTATCAGTTCTCCTTCTTCATCTCTAGCAAACGATGCCTCTTGCGTAAGAGCCACCTACCAGCTTGACCCGAGTTTGCCTGACCTCACTTTTCTCAAGAGGAACTCTCGACAAGAATTCTTGGTTTTTCTACTTAGCTACCTCGACACCTTGACTAATAAATGTTGTCTCTAAAAAATTTTGTGCCTTCGAAGTCATAATGTCTTGTGAAATGCCGTGGACGGTTACATGCAATAACAGCACCAGGGAAGAGCTCTATCCTTGTGCAGAACGCTTGAAGTTCTGATTTACCAGTTTCTAACCTAACTTGTGGTTCTTCCAGTGAACTTGTGGTTATTTTGGTCTATGCAATGTATATGCGGGTTGTGCGCACATTGATTTCACTCAATGTGTGATCCCTGCGTATTTTGAAGTCTGGATATGTCATAAAGTCTGTTATGATTGCATTTCCTTTTCGTAAACCATTAAAAGGAAGGTTTGGTGAACATGCGATAATTGTGATGAATCAGGTGACGAACCTATTGAATCTTCTTTTTCTTAAAAAAAGCTTGAAGGAGTTCCGGAACTGTGTTACATGCCAACTCACAGCTATAGTCCTTCCAAGTTGCAGTTGATCCTAGTCTAAGGTGACCCGTTTTCTTGTGGCAATCTGCGTTCGCAGGTCTGAACATCACACGGGTCAATGATCTGGATGAAGTTATAGAGCTTTGTTATCGACCTTTAGAACTACAGAAGGTTTTTTTCTTAGCTCTTTTATGTACAATGTTGAAATTCGTTTTAGGTTCCCATAACTTGAACCGTATTTTCTGTTTAAAATTGACAGGGAATTGGTAGCTCAGAGTAACGGTTATGGTATCGGTTGGCATTGATTCAGTGAAAAATGTTGCTACGCCTGGGGAGGAAAATAGACCCGTAAAACTTTACAAGAAACAGAGAATCTACCCCAAGAGATCGAAGCATTTCTTCTATCCACCTGCCCTTTCTCGGGTTCATGTCTCTTGGACAGTGCGCGAGACTGTCAACTAGGACACTGTTGGAAGAACAAGCGAACACTAAAACAGCACATAGAGAGAAGATGATATATGGAAGTAAAGTGGATATAAGGCCGGCTAATCGCAGATGAAAAAGCAGGAGGACAATAAGAAATCATTGGGGTCTATAAAGTCGATGAGTAGACGCGAGCACCGTGTTGGATCATACTGTCCCAGGGTTGTATCCATTCGTTGTGCGTCTGCTGCAATGAACGTCCGGTTCTCGTATTTCATGTTTGTTACGGCCTCAGCCGATGTCAAGTATAGTAATGTAACTAAACATGATTTTTCATTATCGTTTGCGATTAAGAATTAATGACGACCTTTCGTCAAAGAATTGACATCGCCCCTTCGTCCACGTCAGTTGTGTTTCTCTAGCACCTTAAGTCTGATGCAATCTGTGGTTCAGGAGCAGGTCGATAAGAAAGCCGCGTTACAGCAAAACCCATTCATGTATGTTTCTTTCATTCCTGACGTTCTTTCAGAATCTAGTCTCCGTTCCATCCTTTGCTAGTTACACCAGATTTGCACCAAACGTGTCGGAGAATGTCGATAACTTGACTATGCCATTTCACCGAACGCAGATCGGCAGGATATTTATTGCCGGAATTTGAAGTGAAATCATCATTCTGTGTAGGCACAGCACAACACGCATTTTGCACATAACCAGCCTTAATAATAGTTTCTGAGTTAGTAATGACTTTGATGTAGGAAGGCTCTCATTGACTAAAGAGGAGAAAGACATTCCCAAGACCGAGAAAGCACCTAAAGCTGAACACGCCAAGGTCGCCGCCTGTTATAATAGCCCAAAAGCAGAAGCCTCTATTGTAGCTTACAATCATGGAATCCGAGCTGAATTTCCTCCAGCAGCAGAGCAGTCCCCGAATGTGATTCCGCTCGTTTCCACGAAACCACACATAAACGATGTGGGTGACTTCACAATTGAACCCCAGCCTCGATATCAGGTAAAGTAGAGAAAGAGCTCCACCTACAAGAGGAAGGCTAAGGTTCTTTGCTCTAACCTGCTATGGCGTTTGTGGATGCAAAGGGTTACGATTGTAGGATTTGTTGAACACTCGTTGATCTAGCAACTTTGACATGTTGCTAAATTCTACTAGAAGCCAATTGTGGGTTTTTACTAGTTGACACACTCTTTTGAAGGTTGCTCAAGGTTTCAAGGATTTTGTATCACATGTACTCGGCTAATGATGATGTTTCATGTGATGAGAGATGCCATTCTGAGCCCATTGTGATTTTGTACACTGTGATGCGAACTGGGCAGCTTGACCAAAATAGTGAAGGAGCTTCGGTCACCAAGCGCAGAGACCAGGTGGTACGTCACCACATTTGTTCTCAAAAGAAAGGTGTGATTCAAGGCCATGTGCATCAAGCCATCTGTACGATCCCGATTCTGATGTCAAGTCTATTTAATAGGAAATCCTACATCAACGACCACCTGGCTGGATCTCTATTTAAATACCTTCAGTTACTGGGCTTCAGTTTCATGAGGCTCATGTTTCAGGCGCACCACTACACAGCTCACGATGTGTTCTTCTGCCCTGCGGCTTATGCGGCCTTGTAATATCTAGTCTTTTGAGAGTTATAAGCTGAGTGTGGACGCTAATAGACCATACTCACACGGTATCTTGCTAAACGGTGTTGCACCTTGCTCTCTTCACTTTTCTTTGCAGTAGACAGAGAGAAAAAGCCCCGGGCTACAGATTATTTAGAGAATAGGAGAAGCAACCCGTATTTGCAGCAGTATCTAAAGCGGGAGTCTTTTGCAAAACCCACGAACCCCCAAGATGCTGAGGTATATTCAAGCAGCTCTCGATTATTTCCCCCACGACGCAAAGAATGATATTGAATCCGGTGGTCCAGCGGTTTGGTGTTGCTGTGAAATACTATCCTAAAATGTACCCTCCGAGACAACCGACCTTAGAGGCAATGAGGGTTTGTTACTAGGTTTTCTTCGTGCAAGTTGTACCAACGTGTGTTAATTATGAAGAACACATGGACTTCACGAATCACTTACCTAGGGAAGGGACGCCGACCAACGCATGAGTTTTGTAATGAACGTGCAGGCTGTGAAGAGAAGAGAAACCCTTATGAAGGAGTTAGCGATGAAGTTAAAAGATGAGCTTGTCACGAAAGAGATCGAAACTGCGGACAGAAACTTTTACACATGGGGGACCTGAGGCTACTATAACCTTTTTTAGTCAGAATTGGGGGCGAAATTGTCTGTCCGTGGAACCAGCGGCGACTCCGCTGGTTCAGAGTCACGTTGGTTTCTCGTGAATTTTCATGAGCTCAATTTTTCCGTGGAAATGGTGTGCCTCGATTTGCAGTATAATCGTGATGGTCTCACCTGTTAGACACTACCAATGACGAAAATTCATTTTTATGAAGATGATGGTCGTTTTAACATTCCCCTATTTACATAAAAACGTGAAACTTGATTTTTCGTGAAAATTTTTTGAATCTCAGTAGTAATTCTATTTGACAGGAATACAAGACGGTCATATACTTTCGAAGAAATATTGACTGATCAATAAGATACTCATACCATCTTTCAAACAAATTTATTCCCTCGTATCTCAAGCTTCATTTCATTCCCCTCGAGCTTGGAATAAAAATGTGTTGAAGGTTTCTCCATGTTCACATATCTCGTCAACGTATGTCAATTAATCCTAATAACGCGCGTAGATTGCCTTGCTCAAGAGTAACGAGTTGTGTGTATTCTCCTCCCGAAGTGGCCATAATAGGTCCTTGCATGATAGAGCAAGTCAATAGGAGATCAGATCCAATCAACAAAATGTCATGATTATTATCTAGTTCTATGTTGGTGACCGAAGGATATAATGTTAATGGTAATAAATCAAGCCCAAGGGATCCGAAGGGTCAAAAGGCTCAAAAAACACAAAACAATCAACCAGTCAAAACCAAGGGGAGCACTCCCTCTAAAGCAGGAAGAGCAGCAGAGCGAAGATTGATGACATCTCTAAAGTAGCAACCAAAAGCGTAAGGCTCGAGTTGAAGTAAAGAATAAAATTTTGTTACAACAATCTTATGAGCCGTTCTAATCTCCCTACATCTAGAAAAAATAAAAAAACACATGTTCTTCATCCTCTATATCCCCTACTCTCGCATACAGTGCAGAAACGTTCACTTGTTTCAATGTTATGCCACCGTTCTTCCTCAATATGTAAACTGTGAAATCAGTTTTGTGCCGTGCAATAATATGACATAAAAAAGTAGAAATACTAGCAAGTAAATATCCTTATTGACAGTAAACAAGCATAGGATTTAGATGATGTCTGTAGATTTTCATTTTGGTGCCGGATCTACTCCAAAGAAAATTGAGAGTCTTTTCTAGTAGATATTGACGGAGCACCAATGGTTGCAAGTCCTAGTATCGTTCCTCCATGTTCCATCTTCAAGACCAAACCGCCACATTTGAGAACCATCCTTCGGAATGGATGTTTTGTAAAGCTTGATGAGCAAGTCGAGAAGGATTTAGAGATTTTACCCGTGCAATGTAGTTGATGTTCAGATAGAGAGCTTCAATCTCTACAGGAAGAAAAACTGTTTGTGCCATTAGGATGACATAGTGGGTTTGATTCTCAACTCAAGTTCTTCTTGCAGGAATATCTTCTGAATCTTTTCTAGACACTCCCAACCTGTACTTTTACAACCAGTGCTCCATACTTGGATGCCGTATAAAATCACTAGCAACACTAGAGTTTTAAATAAAAACTTCCGAAGTTCCCAGGATACAAGATGAGATATCCTACATCTATTTAAAAGTGAATAGAGAGCTTTGTAACCCGCTTCTACTCTCTTTTGCACACAATGTGACCAATTGTAGTCATGAGAGAAATCAATGCCTAAGCATTTGTAAACCTTCACTTGTTCTAACTCTAGTTCTTTGTACCGGAAAAAAAATTTGGATCTAGTACCAACTATGATAATTTTTTATTTCTCCAAGTTGATCTCCATTTCATCTCAGTACAGAAGTTTGCTAATGTGTTCAAATGTTTTTGTAAACTAATAGCATCACGTGCTAATAGGACAATATCATCTCCGTACAATATAGCTTTGATAGTAGAGTTTCCAAGCTTGATACCTTCACTATCACTTTCGTCTAACCATCTTCCTATATCATCTATGAAAATTCCAAATAAAGTTGGAAAGAGAGTACAACCTTGAATGACTCCAATAGTACTCATAATTTTTCTTGGTTGAGAAACGTTGATCTTGGCCCGATCTGAGTTGTATAACGTGGTCATTGCTCCCATGAGATGTGACGGTACTCCTATGTTTTGTAACCTTTCCCACAAAAGCTTTCAAGACACCGTGTCAAAAGATTTTTGAAATCTATGAAGGTACAAAATAGAGCTTTACCGTTACCTTTAGATTTTTTCCATAATACATGCAGAACCAGAATTTGCTCGATAGCGTTGTATGTTGGGCGGAAATCAGCTTGCATTCGCGATCTTTTCTGCAAACTCTCTGTCCAAGTATTCAACTTTGATTCCAACAACTATCCAAACAACTTTGCGAAAACACTTCTCACCATGATAGTTCGGTAGTTCGTCGCCACGTTTTTGCTTCCGGATTTGTGGATAGGAAGAATCTTCCGTGGTGACCAAGTTTGAAAAAAATTGTAGAAAAAGCATCTTTTAAAGCTTTGGTAAGGAATGATACAATATTATCTCCCCACTTGAGAAGCTCAACGCACAAGCCATTCAAATCTTCACCTTTGCCGTTTGCTACACTTCTAAGTACAGTTTTCACCTCCTCTTCAAAGAACAAACCAGGTGCTGCTTCGCATTTTGGCATAGATCTAGCTTTTGGTAAAAATAAAGCTTTTCAGCAAAAGCTAACAAAGATTCTGGATCTAAAGATTGTTTTGCAATTGGTATTGCTAATCTTCTCTAAAAAGACTTAGGATCTTGCATCAGCTCTTTGGTCAAAGATGCATGTTTTTGTATCAAGAAAGCTATTTTCTTGGACTTTATCATCTGTTTGTACATCTTTGTAAAAAGAAGTCTGCTTTGGGGATCCAAAGATCTATCAACTGCTCTTGCCCTTGCTAGCTTGCAATCAAAGTCAAACCACCCGTTACAAGGTAGTCCTTTAGTCTTTCTATTGCTATGTCATAGAAAGAACTTAGACGCAGAGTTTTTGAGTAGTTCTATGAATTGCAAACTAGCTGCATGTGGATCTTGGCTTCGATCAGTGTGTTTCATAATATTTTGTAAATGTGTAGCATAAATATTTTTCTAAGAAGGTAGTAGGCGGAAAGTGGGGAAAGATAGAACATGTTTGTTGATTGGAGTAGTAATAGTTTTTGATATTGACAGAGTAAACATGAGAGGTGCATGTTCAAACTTGGGTTGACGGTTAAGAACTTTGAAAGTGGACATAAGAGAAGTATTAAATGAGGAAGAGAAAATAAAATCTACCGTGCTAGCACCGTAAGAGGACAAACATGTATTGCAGTGAGAGTTGAGAAAGTGAGAGATGTTATTAAGGACTTTCATGTTACAAGTGATCCCAAAGATTAGAAAATGTTCTGTCAAAAAGTTGGTAGAGGGATCGGAAGAGACTCTAAACCATTGACTATCATCAATTTTTTCCAAATGTGAAGAGGTTAGAGAGCTACAAAATTGAATGAACTGAGTACAAAATATGCGAGCATTGAAGTCCCCAGCTAGGAAGACCTCTCCTTTGGTCTGATATTTGAGTGGATCTCCAATGAGTCTATGAAATGATTGGCTACAGTTGCAGAAATGTGTGGAATAGATTGGCATGACTAATGGCGCAAAGTAAGAGATTGCTAGATAGCATTGAGATCCTCCAAGCATAAGACGTAACCATTGATATTGATCGCCAATATCTCGATCTTCTAAATGAATGACAGATTGAAGTGTATATCTGATGAAACTAGCAATATCTCCATGTCCCCTTCCCTTGTGTTGTATTCTATGGTTTCATGTTGACTCCACCAAAGTGAATCCTTGCAGCTCAGTTATGGTGTTGCTTTTATGTTCCCAAGTCTCCACGATGTTGATGATGTTTACCTTCTCCTAGATTGAATCGGCACTCACGTACTTTGAAGGTGATACTACTCAAATATTGCACACCAACATCCTCAACTCCTTGAGTTGCTATGCACATGATTCTCTTCTCTTCTGTGTGACAATCGCTCTTCCATCGCGTAAATAAGCAACGAAATCTAAAAATTGACCCTCATTGACCTTCTCAAGTTCCTTACTTCTAGCTTCGACTTGCAATGGAGTAAGGTTGGGATCCAACTACATTCTCTTTCCTTTGAAGATGGATTTGTTGGCCATGATAGTATCACGTTGAAACTGGTTGACTATGATGGCCCGTGATTTTGTGCTAGTTTTCCCAATCCGCAAAGCTTGGGCTAGATCTGGACTGTGAACATGTAATGTGTCAACTAAGAAACTAGTGGCAACACTTTTCAAATCTTCATCTTCTCTTTCTAGTAAAGTAGATATCATGATATTATTCCTACGGGAATATTGGGATGCATTTTCTACCTCTTGTTCTTGGTAGAAGGAGATATGCGCAACCTTAGTAGCCTTGGCATATGATTTGAGTTTCAAATTTAGAGTGTCTACTACTTCATGTAATCCTGGGCTGCTAGTAACAGTAGCTAGTGATGTGGTTGTAGTCTAAACATCAGTGAAGATTTCAGAAATATGAAGCGTTACACTAGAGTTCTCATGAAATTCTAATCTCATTGCTTCATGTGAGGCTTTCATTTGTAGTGTCTCAATATAAGCTAGAGTGGGTTGTACTATTTGTACCTTAAATTCTTGACGAAGTTATTCAAGGTTTTTCAAGATGGTTTGAACCAGCTTGAGTATTTCCTTCTGAGATGTCATCGTCGTTGTCTCCTCCTTAACACCCGCCAATCTGCAAGAAACAGCACGACGAGAGCTTACAGAAAACACATAGATCGATTGTTCTTGTCCATCACCTCCGACCGATCTTATACTAACCCTAATTTAAATTTCACTTAAATATTTCTCTTACATTCAAACATTGGACCTTGAATTTCTCCTTGAAACTATCAGTGCATACGTTTCACAAAATTGTTTGCGTGTTGTCAATACCAAGAAACTGCGACGTGAGTAGAGTAACTTTCACTCGGATTGCAAACAATCATCCCTTCCGTTTTATCATTTTTGTCTTCTGTTGCTCCTTCCCAATCTACTTGTTCAAGTTCATTGACTCCGTCTCTCGCTATCGGCTCATCGAATTAGATTCTACTAGTTATGAAATTTGCTTTTGCACTTCTACTTCGCTCTGTACCTCGCTAAGAATGCCATCCTCGCAAAACCTCCATCAATTTTCCTCCCCGTGGATCTCAATTGCCCTCCCCGTGGCAATGCAACACCTCGTCTAAAAAGTATATTAAGTAAACTTCACTAATCTTATAAGACAAAGTAAGTACAATTTTGAATTTTGAGTTTCAAGATTTGAGGGCAAGAGAGTCAATTTTTACGGGAGTTGTTTCTTCAAGCTCGGGTGTGCATTGAACCTAAAACTTTATGGTAAATTGAAGTTAGGCAAAGCGCACGAGCTTGCAAAATCTCACACAAAACACAATTTGGAGCACGAAGTGACATGTCATGGAGGTTTGAGATTTTTGAGAGATAATGACCAATTCTTGTAGGGGCCGTAACTTCGAGCTGGAGTGTGATTGGGGTTTGAAACTTTGTGGCATTGTGAGTTTAGGCAGGTCGTTGTAGCTTGTCTATTTTCAGATTTAATGGAGTTCCAGAGATATAGTGAGTCCAATTTTTAATTTTGTCTTGGAGGTTTGAGCTTTTTAAGAGGGGAGAGCCAGTTCTTGCTGGGGCCATAACTTTGAGCTCGAGTGTGCTTTGGACCTGAAACTTTGTATTAGCTTGGAGCTAGGCAGGTAACACAAGCTTGCAAAATTTGAAACCAAACGCAATTGAAAGGACGAAGTTGAGACATATTGGAGTCTCGAGTTTTTGAGAGTCATTCACATGATGACTTCTCAAGACAATTTGATACTCAATCCTCTGCAAATGGTTTTGGAAGAGTTGAAAGTACTCCGTGCAAAATTCAAGGTACATAGTTCTATTTTAATTGTAGCTCAATATGAAATTTGGGAGTTGAAGCTCTCTCAAAAAAGTTTTGATAAAATCATGGTTGATATTTTGGAACACGTAGAGGACATTCAAGAGAAAGTGGTTTTCAAGTTTCCATTGTTGCTACTCCTAGATTGCATGAAGTGGTTGAAAGTCTAGAGGTGAAGATAAAATGTTATGTTAAAGCCACCAAGTTTGCCCATATTTCTTTCTATCAAGAGCAAGAGATTGAGAATGCTAATCAATTTGCTCGTGGAAAGAATGTGAGAATTTATGGTCTATCTAAATCTAAGCAAGAAGATGTGAAGAGTGTTGTCACCAAGTTTTTGGCTGAAACACTTGATTTTCATAATCTGGATTTGGCTCAAGCTTTTTGCATTGGAACCATAGAAAGTCAAACTCAAACCATCATAGTTAAGTTTAATGACCCAACTCAACATGATACGGCTTTAGCTAACAAAGCCGTTCTCAAGGGACATATGATTTGGTTAGATCTTAATCTCACACCTCTACAAGTAAAGGCAAGGATAAATGAGCTTTCAAAAGTCAAAGAAGCTCAAGATGTAGGATTTTTTGCTTATCTCCGTAATCGACAAGCAATTATCACTCAACGGAAGAGACAATCATCAACGTAGCAATCCAAAAACTTGAGGGTGTTAATGTGAAATATTAAAGGTTTTTCTACGACAAAGTATGTGAGTGCTGATCCGATTTGGAAGATGGGGGACATCATCAACACTGTGGAGACGTGAAAACATGAGAGCAACACTATTGTAGAGATATCATGATTTACTTTGGTGGAATCCACTTGGAATCATAGAAGTCAACAAGCAAGAAGAGGCTATGGTGGTATTGCTACTTTTATCAGATCTCAATTTCTATCTCTAATACATCTAGAAGGTCATGATAGTGGAGGTCAATATCATTGGCTTCGTCTTGGATTGGCTAGAGTATCTTATAGTTATTTTACTGTTTGTTACTTTGCATCATTGTCCATGCTTATCTCCTTCACACGCGTTTGCAATCAAAGTCATCCATCGACTTATATGAGATGTTCTCAATTATTAGAGCAAAAGTGAAGTTTTTCTTGTTGAGATTTCAATGCTCGAATAGGTTGTGCACAATTTACACAAGTTCGTGATCTCTTGACCTCTCCCGTATTTGAAGAACTTGAAGATACTATGTGGTCTAGAAACTCTTCTGATGCTTGTACAAATTCTTTGACAGAACACTTTCTAACCTTTGGAGCCACATGTAATATGAAAGTTCTCAATCTCTTTTCCAACTCCCTTTCCAATAAGTGTTTTTCTTCTATAGGTGTTAGCATTATTGATTATTTTCTATCCTCCGCCACCAATAGCTCTTTTATTTCAAAATTTGATATTCTAGAACCTCAGCAAGAATCATATCATGCAGCTCTCTTATTTACTCTCTTGTTGTCAAACATAACGTCTCTCTCTCCATGCCACTCTATTTTAGCTTCTCCCAAGTTTCGTTTAGATCCTAGTAAGAAATAGCATTACATGCTACATTTTCAAAACCTTTTGACCCACACTTCATGAAGTCTTGATCCACATACAACGATTGTGCAACTAACAAAGTTGCTCAAAGACATTGCTTCTAAGTTCTTTTCGCGACACAAGGATTGAAGAGCTAGGGGGCTTCCTTGCAATAGATGGTTTGACTTTGATTGCAAGCAAGCGAGAATGAGATAAGTTGACAAGTATTTGGATCTTCAAAGTCGGCTTATCTTGACAAGGCTTTACAAAGACTTGGTGAAGTCTAAGAAACGAGCTTTTGGACTACGAAGCAAGAATTCTTGACAAAAGAGTTGATGGAGAGTTCCAAATCTTTTTGAAGACGTTTAGCTGTTCGGTATTCTAAACTTACACTTGATACCAAGATTTTGATTGACTTTGCTAAAAAGTTTTATTTATTTCCCGACGCTGGATCAATGCCTTGTTGTGAAAGAATATTTAGCTTATTTTCTGAATGAGAGTTGATGACTCAAGTAAAAAAATTAGCAAATGGTAAATCAGAGGATTTGGATGATCTCTCTATTGAAATTTTGAAGTGGGGAGTAGAAGTTATTGGACCAATATTCACTAAAGTGTTAGAGAATGCTGCTATGTATAGTTTTCCTTCAACTTGGTCTCTACGGAAGATTGTGTTTATTCGTAAGTCAGGAAGGAATGACTTGGTGACAAAATATCGCACTATCATGATGGATAGTGTTTTTGCCATGTTTGGCAAATTGGTGGAGTCAAAGTTGAGCACATGGACTTAATCTAATCGAAAGAGAGTGTGGTTTCAAGTAGATTTTGCGCCACATACAACACCATTGATCATATCTTGGTTTTGCGTGTTTTATAGGAGAAGTCAAAAGCCAATGGAAAAGCTTTATTTTGCATCTTCATTGATTTTAAGAAAGCTTTTGAAACCGTACCTTGTGAACTATTATGGAAATGATTCCAAGTCATTAGACTACCATTCGATCTTCTTGTCACATTATACCATTTTGTTCGAGCCAAGATCCACTCTTCTCAAACTCAAGAAGTTTTGACTACCATTGGAGTAATTCAAATTTATACTCTCTCTCTTATAGATGATATCAAAGAGTGGTTGAAGGCATGTGATAACGAAGGTGTCAAGCTTAAAAACTTTGTTATCAAAGCTCTATGTTTGAATTTTTATAGATGACATCGAAGTGTGATTGGAGACAGGTGATAGTGAAATTGTCAAGGTTAGAAACTTTGTTATCAAAACTCTCTTGTATGCATATCATATCATATTACTAGCATGTGATTCAATTTATTTACAAGCACACATATACACTTTGGCTAGCTTTTGTACTTAGAATCATAAAGAGTTAAATATGGAGAAGTCTAACAAAGAATAGAGCTGTAACACCAATAAACGATTCGGATACAAAGGAGGAAAAGAACAGTTGGTGGGTGATAAGTTTGTTTTGTGACATGTTACATCATCGTCAATGCTTAGACAAATCATCGATCTTCGCTCCGTCGGGGACGAGAAAATTAGATATTGATATGTTCATCTCTTGAACAATTCAAATGGTTGTTGAAAGGCTTCCTCCGGGTAAGACTAAGCACGTAAGAGAAGACGATGACTTAATTGGAGAACACTAACTGTCGTGATTTCAGTCTGGTAGCAACCTGTCGGTTAGAACAAAGGGTTTATCTGTTCGGGGACTTCACAATCAATCAAAAGTGCTGCAGGGCCAAATCTGAGTAACATCACATTCCCTAAAATTTTGTTAAACTAAGTTGGATAGTCTTCATCTGTTAGATAAGCACGTACCAAACGGATTAAGATCAGACTATGTTAATAGGGCGGCGCGCATTCGAGTGGGGTACCATCACCAGACATGTGAGAATATCCAGTCAAATTCCAGCATAGACTTTACCCACCCATAAGAAAATCCCAAGTGGTACAGTCCTCTCCAAACACACCTTTCACCGAAACCCGTGTAACTACTTCGTTCTGTTTCATGACAGAATGTACAAAGAATTTCTGCTGACTTGCGAACTGATCAATATCTCTCGAATGTGGTAACCCACGGAATCCGAAACGATAGAGGGACGGTCAATATCTGCGGGTTCAGTTTCGATGAAGAAGACTGAATTCTGCAGGCAAAGATTCAAAGATGAAAGAAATGTAAAACGTTGAGGGTTTCCACTTCATGCCAGAGCAGCAATTCCTGTACTTGAGAAAACTTTCAAAGCTCCTCGCTCCAGTCCTTTCAATGGAGTTTTATTGGTCTCTGAAGACTTCTCGCTGCTTATTACAAAAGCTCCACACGTTGACAGTCTGGGCATGTGATTACATTCAAAGCATCACATTGAAGATACACACCGACGAAGTACGTGAGGTCGAATGGCTTGAAGCCATCGTTGCGACTTGAACGGAGCAACTAGCATTCACAGTGTCATACAGTACCAATGAGGCAAATTTCACAAACTGCTGTCAGCACAGCAAGCACAGACTTCGTCTGCAAACCAGAGACTGGTCGTTCTCTTCATAGCTCCAAAAAAAATTATTTTTTCCATAGATGATTCCAGGCTGAAATGCTTTACGAATCTTGAGATGCCTCTGGTGATTTTGAGTAATCTCGTCAATCAAAATATTGTCGAGACTGAATATACCTGAAAACGACAGTGCCAGGTAAGAAATTTGTCACTTCTCCTCCTACACAGCTGTCTCTCATGTTGTCAATGTCGTCTGGAAGTTTCGCTTGGTCTGTAGACATCCTCAGTTCAGGCATAGCACAGCAAGCTAGCTGATGTGCTTTTGCATAGAGAAATCGCCAATGAAACTCTAGGAGTAGACAGATTGTGCAGTCGGCTAAAGCGTCTGGATTGCCCGTCATATCTACGTCACTGTGTGCTAATCCCATCGATTATCCCTTCCATGTACATGTGCGGGCTTAAAGCGTTTGATGCATAGAAAACTCAACGAGGTCACTCGGTGTAATGTTTGAACCCTAAACAATTGGTGGGAAAAACCTTGCTAAAAGCACTAGGTGTAGCGTCACAAACCTTTGCTCGATCTCATCCATTCCAGAAACGACTGTTGCAATCTTCTCTCGCTTCTTGACAGCACCATATGGACCCTTCCACTCTCGAACAAGGTCTCAAACATCTTTCTCTTCTTGGACGTACACAATGTCTCTTCTTTAACGTCAAATTTTGGTTTGTCTACACAAACCACCACACCCTGACATATACATTACTCAAGGCCTGAACAAGCAACAACGTACTTCAACAAAAACTTCGAGAAAGCTGGGCTGAGGATCAGCAAACGCATTCGAAGTCTTCAGCTTCGCCGTCAGCAGATTTAAATTCCGATGGCAAGTACTCTTGCGGAACACGGAGAAAAAAAATGTAAAGATTTCAACCTGAGAAGTTTCACACGATAGATTCAAACGAAGAAGGCAACTTATGCGTAAGTCATTTACGTATTATGCGGAACCAAGTCTCCAAGAATAAGGCAAAATTGAATCTTTACATGATGCACCCAACCAAGAAGCCGAGGCTGGGAAGGTGTTTGACCAGTCCTCAGTTTATCACACCTGCCGGTATGGCAAGAGCAAGATATACGCAACACAATGAACAAGGAAACAACTCGAGAAGACTAAGCTGTCTAAACAATACGCTAGTTATTTGAAGAATAAGAATAACTACCGCATTCTGAGTTCGAAGTGAGCTTGATCAATGAGTGTCTGGATTTTGGTAGCAGCATTTCGTCGATCTTCTGGACAAGCCGCTAATGCCTTTTCCAGGTGCTCCAGTGCTTTCTCGGGTTCCCCCGCCTCCAGAGCAGCTACTCCAGCCCTATATGCCTCGTCTGCTTTGAGCATATCTCCAACTGCGAGAACCTTCATGGGTACGTTGTGCCGCTCTACTTCTGCCGCATTCGGCTCCTGTTCTACATATTCTACAGCGTCCACAGTATTCCGACTCGCCTCCTGCATCTCTAATTGTTGAGCCGCAGCAGTAATAAGTTTCTCAATTTTCACCAGGGCAGAGGGTCTATTTCGGGGACACTTCTTGCAGGCCAGACGTAGGAGAACGATGGCTTGAGCCATGTCTCCTTCCTCCATTGCAGCACTACCTGCTCTGTAAGCCTGATCTGCAACTACAGCATCGTATTTTACAGTCACCTCGCTCGGTGAATCCAGTTTTTCATCCGTATCTGACTTTCCTGGCAATAAGGTACTGAAATCCAAAGGATTCGTAAACACGATAGATCTCATTCTCTCTACTGGCGAACCTGTAGCTGTTGAGCTAGCAGAACTTGTCCTCTCTCCCTCCAAGAAATCGTATTCGGAGCCACTGTCATGAGAAGGACCCGTGAAAGCCTTGAATTTTGAACTGTGTCTAGCAGGTTGAAAAAAGGAGAATTTTGGGGTAATCGGTCTCTCTGGTTGGATCTCTTGGGCAAGGGGACTGAATCTGGAAACAGGAACAGCATGAGAAACTTGGGGACTAGAGGGTGATTCTACACCAGAATTACGAGCTTCAGAAACCCATCTCCTGTCTCCATCTCCAAGTGCCCCAGATTGAAGAATTTTCAGATTACCCGAAGCACTATTATACTTCAAGCCGCTGGTACGTGGTTCCGAATTAGTCAATTCAGGACCAGATGCAGCAGAGAGGATATGCTTTGAGCTTCTTCGACTTCTTCCCGTGCGTCGCTCCGTGTGCGCTGTGGTCACTTTCTGGAGGAAGTCTTCTACTAAAGAACCTTGTAAGAATCGTCTTGCTTTTCTCACACTCTCGCTGGAATCTTTAGAGTTACCTTGAGAGGTCTTGGGATGGATGTTGAAAATGGGAGGTCCGGGAGGCATGTTTGTGAGATCTTGAGATGCTCTAGCATACTCAGTCGTCATCACAGCGCGATCGATATGGTGGAGGAGAGAATCAGGATCCGGCAGCAAAGCCTTGGGCAATGCCACGGGCTGCAACGCCCGACTCTTTCCTGGCTTCATTCCACCTGATCGACTCCGTCTCACTGTCCTCCTCCCCGGGGCTCGGCCTGTCACATCTCTCTGGATCTACTCTAAAATTGACATCGTCCTACCACCACCACGAACAATTCGACCACCTACCAACCTCAGAACACCACACGCCACGAGCATCTCTCCCATGTCAAATTCCAATTCGGCTCCCATCGCTCAAAAAACACTCACCCCACTACAACAATTGCACGTCTTTCGCAGCCGGCAAGCTTTCCCTACTCTGCACTGCCATCAACCTGTTTCTCTGGACTCCCCAGCGGAAAAACCTCACGATTTACGGGGTTCCACTGCCCACTGGAACAAATTACATCCAGAAACAGCCCCTTGATAACATCTCATCTCCGAACTCGAACCCTAACATCGGCAGATTGAAAAACCACAACTCTCCGAGAGTGAGTGAGCTCCATTCTCCGGACCTTCGATCGAGCACATGAATTGAAATCCTCGACCTCACGAGGACTTTCGCTCAGGAGAGGATCGACCGGGCCAATGTCCGACCTTCGGTGAGAATTGTGCGTGCGTGTCGAGCCCCGGAAGAGCTCAATCCGCCGGCTTACTGCCTTCACCCTTCGAGCTTCAGAACTGGGCATCTACGGTGAGGGCCGGCCAACTGGCACTCCTCTCCGCTCCATGTCATCGTCCAACTCGGCTGCTCCAAATCCTCAACCCTGGTTGCGGAGTTGAGTTGGGTGGTCAAGTTTTCGACCGCCCGCCCTCGCTCACCGCAGCTCCGCAGAGCACCAAATCTTCGCTTTGTTTCCAGGAGAACACGTGGCGACTTGTGTCTGTGACACTGGTACAGATGCTGAGTTCTCGTCCTCGCGCCTCCCTTCTCTTTAGACTTTTCACTAAAGCCCCCCACCGTATTCCTGCGAACCGACGGCCGGGGCCATTCATACGTACACCTTTCGTGCGTCACCGTCGTGTGAATCAAGCGAAACTCAACTGCGTAATTGTAGTCATTGCTTCTCGGCACGTCTCGCCTGCGAACGAAGAAGGGTATAGTATATGTATTAGGGTGTAAAAAAAAAAGCCATCAAAAAGATTTAGATATTAAATTTTTATTTCAAAACAGTCATTCAAAGTTAACATACCTAATTTATTTTAACTAACATGAGCTTTATACTATACACCGAGATTTGAAGGTTTTTGCTCTTCAGCTATATTGTTTTGTTTGATGATTTTTTCCTGCAGAATTAATGAGAAAAATCGTTTTTGTGTTTTTTGCATAACCTTTTAGAATGTTTTGTTCCAATTCTGGAATACTAAACATCATGTCACATCTCTTGTTTCAGCACTCACATTTGTATCCACATTGAGTTTACCAATGTACAATCTTATCCACTACTTTATTGTATGTTGAAATTTTATAAGAGAACTTTAAAACACAAAATGTTGAAAGTATTCACTTCTCTTCACAGTTTTTTTTTGACAATTGAATTCTAACCTACAACATCAATAATAAGATTAGTCTATTTCAACGGTTTTCAATATAGTTCCAACTTCTAGATTTTTCAGTGCAAAGGAAAAAACTCAAAATTGATCCGATAAAACTTAGAAACAACTCTGTTGTATGATGTTCACCATATGTTGAGGTTAACTTTGAAAAAAGGTTAACCTCATGTTTAGCTATTTATAGTTAAGATTGGTCCTCGGAGTTGGGTACATATACCCAAAATGTGTGAATTACCAGACAGAACATTCAGTGGAATATCACAATGCTCTTCACCCGGTGGACGTAGCCTTTGAGAGTGAACCACGTTATTCTCTAGTGTCTCTTAAGTTGATGACTTGCTTGCTGGCTTGAATGCTTCACAGTGTTTATGAATTTTACGTTTACAATTGGTATTATAGCAGGTTTTGGTTTGCGTGTGAGTTTTCACTCAATGACAATTTTTTTTAGGTTTGAAATTCTTGACAGTGATGTTTTTTCTTTTTGGACTATATCGGTTTGTGACGGTGATGGTTTTCAGATAGATTCACGGTTTTTTCCAATAACAATTTCCGTTGACGGTTTTGGTTTATGACAGTGAAATTGTTTGATTGACACTGATGGTAAAATCTGATAGTGAGATCGTTGTAGAGATTTTGAACCTCACAATGTCTGGATCTTGTCCAGATCGTGCAGAACTGACGATTTCTGTGACGTACTTACAGTTTGTTTGTTCGAAATGAAGTGACTATACTGGCATGAAAATTTGTTCAGCTAAGTAGTGACTAGTATGAGGTTTTGGTGATAGAAATTTGAGCTTGAAAATTTTGTCGTTTTGAAGTTACTCACAGTTTGTTCGATAAGAACCCGACAGGTTTAATGAGGAACATAGATGACAATTTTTGGTTTGTTTCTTTTCTTTTGTAATATATGATAACTTCAGAGTTATAATAACGCTTATGGAGGCCAAGTTGAGTCTTTTGTTCGACTTTCAAAGTTTGTGACAGTATTTACTTCAAGAAATGACAATTTTTGGAGATGAGTTTTTTGAGAGATTTCTCATAGAGACAGAGCAAGAGAGAAGTTACATACGAAAAAGAGATAGAATGGGAGAAAGATCGGCAGAAGACTTTACAATGAAGAGTGCATGGTAGCCTTGCCTTGTGAGATTTAACTACGGCAGAAATCAACTTCAGGCGAGAGAATCTGGAGCAAGAAGGCGGAGCAATTTTAGACATGTGAAATCTTGGCATCAAGCTTTGAGTTTAGTGTCTGATAGCAGCTAATCAAATTAGAGTATAGACATGGTTCTATGTGAGTTAATTTTTTCTCAGTGACAGCTTTTGATGTGATCTTTGCAGATTTCACTGTCATGTCACAAAAGATTGTTGTGTGTTCTGCTCAAATGCAATTAAAAAGTTGATGAGATTTCATGGAAGAAGCAGGGTAGTGGGCATGTAAATTCCGACTTGTTATGGTTTGTATTATGGACCGTGGCATTTTGGATAGATGTTGCGTTTCTTGAGCTCTTCCAAGGTTCTTCTAGGTCAATCCTCTCATGAGCAAAAGTTCTTGTGAGTTCAAGGATCTCATTTCATGTGCCCGATTGAAGGTTTGGAGCATATTGCTCACTCATTCTTGGAGATTAATGGTTTTTTCAATCTGCCGATGTTAGGATACGAGTTGAGAGATTACATTTTATCAAGGGGCTGCTTCTGGATGTAATTTGTTCAAGTGGACAATGAAACCACTTAAATTGTGAGGTTTTTCCACTGTAGAGTTTAGAGAAACGGGTTGATGACAATGCAGAGTAGTGAAAGCTTACCGGCTTGAAAAGGCGTGCAATTGTTGGAGTGGATTGACTATAACATAAAATGTTGTTGTTGCAAATCAGGCTTACGAGCAAGCATTGTTGGAATGAAGGAAGTAGACATAGCTCAAGCCATTGTTATCATGCGTCTGGCTTGTAAGAAGTGTCTTCAAGATACACACGACTTGCGCAAATTGAACTCTGTAGCGGAGGAGGCCGAAGTCCCATACATGCCGAAATGCAGTACTCACTCATTGTCTATCGACAAAAGTCTGAGGTAAATGGGAGCCGTTTGGCTGGACTCCGACCAGATGTCAACTTCCCGCCCAACGCGACAGATTAGGCGCGGATTGGCCAAAGCCAGAAGGCCTGAACGTTTGGACGGACAGCTACACCGCAAGATCCAAATGGCCAAGATCCCCCACATACTCCCGAAAGATGGTCGGAGCGATCCCCAAAGGGCCGCGCCGGATAGCGAGCTAGCAGACCCCAATCGACTGTACTGTCCCGCACCCGCGCTTTGCGGCAGGATGGGATTAAGGTCACGGATTGAGAGTAGAGTGGAGGGCAAGGCGGCCAGGAGGAGCGAAATTAGCGGGTTGAGGGCCGAGTGATAATTTACAGATCCCCTTACGAGAAACGGTTTGTTGAGTGCCATCGAACGTCATGCATTGCCCCTGGGTCACGTGATCCAAGCCATGCATGGTAAGTTTATCGTCAAAGAGTCAATTTAGGATCCCACAAGGTCTGTGTGCGGTCAACCGCGGTATGCATAGCAACTACATTTGGTCAGCCGAACGTGATTTTTCATGACAAACATAGTTGTTTGAGACTAACAGAGGTGGTCGGAACGAACGCAGTCGTGTTTAGAGGGATGTACGTGATTGAAGCCAAACGTGGTGAAACGGCCAACCGCAATTTGCGAGGCAATCACAATCGGCAGGTCGATGGACGTAGTTGCGGTTGGAAGTTACAATTGCGATTGGCAGACAAACGTTGTTGGACGAATCTTGGTTTGTGAGGCAACTGCAGTCAACCGTTGTCGATAGTGCAATCGCTGTATGTGGAGTCACCAAGGTTGACTTGTGTTTGAAGATGATGATGATTGTGCATGATCGACGGTGAGTCGCAAGCAACATTTGCGGCCGATGATGAGTTTCGGGTAACGGTGACAGACGGTGTGTTGCAGGTGACGGTGGTCATGAGAGACGGTGATCACGGACGACGGTAATTGCGGATGATGGATGGCAATCACAGGCAACGATGATCGCGGATGACGGAAGGTAATCGCAGACGATGGTTGCGGACGCGATGACCGGTCAGTTGCCTACTATAGTCGTGGGCGACATGTGCTTTCATATTCAAGAGGGCAATGCAGTGTCTCAACTGTCTACATGTAGAGAAGGGGCATTGGTTTGGTGCGAACTAATAATGGCTGAGATGACAACACGAAAGGTCGTAGAATATGACCAAGGAGAAAGATTTTGGATGTCGAGCTATGACATCAACGGGTTACAAGGTATAAGATCTGATAGCCTGTAGGTTCTTGCCAGTAGAGATGTTTCTTCAATGAGGTTTAGATCATTGAAAGAGGGGGAGAGTTCTCAAACTCTTCGTCATGACAAGAAAATTTCTCTGCTCACTCATATGATTGTGGGAAAGTTTGATCATTATGTGATTAATGATCAAGAAGTAGCACCAATAGTGTGGGGATTGGGTGAGTTTGATCATTATGTGATTAATGATCAAGAAGTAGCACCGATAGTGGTGGGAATTGGGTGAGTTTGATCATTATGTGATTAATAATCAAGAAGGAGCACCTGTAGTGATGGAGCTTGAGGGACTTTGATCATTATGTGATTAATGATCAAGAAGGAGCACCGGTAGTGATGGAGATTTTGAGCACGTGATTGAGCTAGTCAAAATTGACAGTAAACTCAATCTAACTAATGCATTGATCAAAGTTAATACTTTGGAGATATTCAGGCGACATTGTGGTATCATGTAGGTTTTGCATGGGGAGCACATGGAGATTATTGATTTATCTCTATATGTTATTACTCTATCATGTTTTGACTACGGCTTAGTTCTAGTCAACTTTCGTCTAAAGATGGACCTTGTGTTAGGTTCTGTCTAGAACTTATCGCGGAGTAATAATATAGGTTAAAGAGTTAACTGAGAACTTAACAGAAGTTAAGAGTAAGATTGTTAAGGTTAGCTTTGGTTAAGTAGTAACCTCATGTTTAGCTATTTATAGTTGGGATTGGTCATCGATGTTGGTACATATACCCAAGGTCTGTGTATTAACATAAAGAACGTTCAGTGGAATATCATGATGCTCTTCCTCCTGGATGTAGACCTTGAGGATGAACCTCGTTATTCGCTGCTGTTTCTCGAGTTGATGGCTTGAATATTTCATAGTGTTTATGGATTTTATGTTTACAACATAATCTTCACTCCAACTAGCAACCTCTATACTCAACATCATGAAATCTCCAATCATTAAAAAATTTCACCACAAATCCAGCATCAAATATGTCTAAACTAACTTATTGAGAACTCCAATTATTGAAATTTTTTCACCACAAAATTCCAGTATTTTTCAATCTATGTAGTTCATAGACAATTTCCACTTAGTGAACATAACATTGATGTAAAACCTCAATAAACCATAACTCGCTTTGAGATTCATCGACTTCAGGTTCGCGCAACCAACGAATCAAGGCTCTGGTACGTAAAGTAGCAACATCAGTGGTGACGTCTTGGTAGTTTACTGAGTACTTGTTCTTAAAGGAGGAACTCTATTCCTCTTGCAAGTTCATGGGTTGGACGTGTTTTCTTAGATATCTCGTCTTTGAGATGGTGGTACGACAAAATGCAAAAGACACGTACAATACCACGGGCTTGTAGACCGTCCAGGGGCCCGACTGTAATTTGACTGACGGTTACACATCAATGCTTGTTCAGAGAGTGAATAACTACGCTTCCCGTGATGGTAAATCTGTTGTATGGCTTAGCATATGACAGGTAAAGAACCGTGTTTTGTGTAAGACTGGACAACAGAGCCCGACATTGGGTGCCCATGGCCAAACCCACCCGTGCCCTCGGATTATGGGTGGGTTTTGGGTGACATTATTTTTCCATGGGTGGGCGCAAGTAATGCTAGGGGCAGTGTTTGTCAAGATCCAACAAGAATATGCGTAATTTGAGTAGCATGGGTGGGCATGGTCAGGCACAGGTAACGCAAAATTTGCGTAATTTGAGTTGCATGGGTGGGCATGGTCGGGCACAGGTAACGCTATGGGTGGACATGGGTGGGCTTCTGTCGCTGCAGATGGTCATGGTCTGGTCTGGGTGCAGATTTGAAGTAAAATGTCGGGCTCTGCTGGACAATCAACACTAGCGAAGAACTTACCCACAACGAACTATATTTGTATAATTTCAGATCGTAGTGAGTCATAATCATATGTTGAATAGATCCCATCGTCAGTCATAACAATCTGAACAGAGTCTTCGTCCAGAGCGTATCATTCCAACTTCTTGAACATCAAATTCTAATCCAGAACCAGTCGCGTGAGGGTTTCAAGACTTGAAGATGGGAACCCAAGAATGGCTTGCATTTTCATCAGCATAGTTCCATGTTCCAAGCAACAATCAAAGACTTTCTGCCAATTTGGGCTACTATGCACTCCCAAAGAGTTTCCGAAAGTCCAGGTAGCTCAACTTGAAACTGATATGATAGGAAGAGCACCTGGGCCGTCCTACGATCTGGTGCAGGAACCAAGATTACAATGGAGCATAAATGATTGGACCAAAAGCTTACAAATGTCACGCAAGGACTGCAATACACGGGAATATTTATTCAAGTAATAGAAGGATAGAGATATTGGCTAACAAGGGACGTGGTCGACAAAAAGGGTTCACAGCTCAAGAGATGAGCATGGACCATTTCTTCAACTCGGTACACAACAAGAAGTACAGCTGTATTTTCTTGTTTTGTTCTACACATCGTAAGACACCCGAAGTAAGGAAGCCAACTCTTGCGATTGTGTACAAAGTTTCTTTCTTTCAGTAAACCAGTAACGTATTCACATGGATGGCTAAGTCAAGAAAACTGATTCGACAGTCCCCTGAGCGAGGTAGATATAGATATCCTCACCTCGCCTCACCTCACTAGAATCGCTTCAGTTAGATTACTTCTACAGACACGGGGTAACACTAAGACCGTATAAACTGTCCCGCTTAAACGAATACACACTCTCCAGCTTCAAGGAAGTCTATTAAATATTCTGCCACCATCACTTTGAAGCTTCAAGATGATTTGATTGTGAGAGGTAGCATCACTCCAGGGACTGCTGAAAGTTCTCCAATCTACAAAATAAGCTCCTACTCAGAATCCTAGTACCTAGTCATTGGTGATTACAGAATCTATCTGAAAGAGTAACAATGGTCGGACACAAAAACTAGCTCAGGTTGCTACGCTACCTTAATTGATGATAGATACAATACGCTTAATCCTCTCAGTGGCAAAAGTGGGCCGGCCTTTGTGTACACCTTCCATAATTTTGAATACAAGCCAAAGTTGTTTAACTTTGCACCACATTCTCTTCCCTTTGTCAACAAGACTTGATGGGGAGGGCGGGTGAGGGGCTAGGCTATGCAATATATCCGACACTCTAAAGCAAAAGTTTCCGAGGAGGAAATATTCCACGTCAAAGTCAAAGGGTCCGGAAATTGAGCTTACTATTACACCCAAAGTCCAATACAATGACACTTGTATTATCCTTGGTCCGCAATGCTCGTGCTTTGCTTACAAGCATATCCGCTATACCTTCCGCACTTTGAGGTGGAACTTTCCTACCTTCAGCAGTTGCGCACTTACCATCTCGAGCCTGCCAGTAATAAGAGAAGTTCGAGATCAGATACATGTTTCAAACGTGCGAGAGATAAATAAGGAAGCTTACAGCTTCAATTTGCCGAGTAAGAATGCTTGACATTAATTTTCAATACAATGATAGAATAAGAAAAATAATATACCTCGACGGCAAAATTCAGCGCTCTCCTGGAGCTCATGACATCCCAAAGTCCATCACTGCGCAAAAGATAACAGTACGTGAGCATGCTGGGCAAACATCAAACTCTGTAGGAACAAATGATCATCCTTGCATGGACATGATAAGCACATCGGACCCTGGTCAATTTACCTGGCCATAACTGCAAGAGCGCGGCTCTCCGGTTCAAGTTTTAAAACCTCGCTGACATAAGGCTGCGATGAGAAACTGTCGTCTTGCTCTTTCAGAAACTTGTCTCCGAGAGCTCGAGCTATATTCATACCTGTAGAGAAAATTTGGAAGGATCATATTTCTTAAGACTGACAAAACAACCCGACTGAAAGCATCTCTTCCTCTCGAGTAAACATACCACAGAGTCGTGTTTCTCCTTCCCTGAGCTGCTTCCCCATCTCCAAGAGTCGACACCTTTCGGAGAAGCTTGTTAATCTATGGTCCTCCGTAACCGGTATGTGTTTGTCTCCAATGCTGCAGATATTCACTTAACATCATCAGACCGAGGCCGACGATATGATTTACCCACAGATCTATAAAATATCTTCGTGTGTTTGAAACCTTGAATTGAAAATCATTAAACAATGTGGAACTCTCTCCAGAAACCTCAAATCAAGAGTTATTGCGATGATCTTAGTAGAACAGAAAGTGAGAGGCCAAGATTTCTGAAAGTCGTGAGTGTTCGTGATTAAAACTGTTGAAACCCCGGGATACAGAGACACGAAAAATGGATTAAGGACAAGATTTCAACCCACCAAAACACACATGCCGAGTCTCCGACATTGGCACACTGAGCGTAATAGTCCCGGCCTTCGGCCCAAAGGAGGAGAACTGTAGCAGTGCAGCCCTACATTCAAATCGCAACTTCTGTCATTAGATCAATAATCAATCATATTGTGTTCCATTTGAAAGCGACAGCAACGAAAAAGTCCCTTGAAGGCATGACCCATATATCGCGATAAGGACAGTCACAAGAGTCAGCACTGACAGTGGCAACTTCTGTCATTAGATCAATAATCAATCATATTGTGTTCCATTTGAAAGCGACAGCAACGAAAAAGTCCCTTGAAGGCATGACCCATATATCGCGATAAGGACAGTCACAAGAGTCAGCACTGACAGTGGCAATCCGTTCGAGAGGAGCCAGCCCTCGAGGCGTCCTCTGAATAACTTGGAAGTAACCCACTTCCTCAGATAAATCACTTCACCAAGTCTACGATATGAACCAGCGTCATAGCAGTTGCAACACAGTTGATGGTAAGAGAGCTGTTGGGCAAAATCAGCCACCTCACCCTCAACGACTGCTTCGTGCCCCGTCGTTGAAGGAGAGGATAGCTGACATACCTTCTGTTGCAGATCCTTTATATACACCAAACATGCATTGACCGCTAGACTTATGGGGTTTTTTTCCATTTGAGTATCACCGAGATAGTTCCTTCAGACCATGAGGCGTATTGAAAAGGACGTGATTCACCTAAATTACTGTACGTCCAAAGCAGATTACTTTAGGCTAAAACCTAAAAATACACACCATCTGAATTCATATTGTGTTCCATTTGAAAGCTACAGCAACGAAAAAGTCCTTTGAAGGCATGACCCATATATGATGGCACGGTTCCGCTAACAATCAAATTTCTTAGAAGTGGATCTAGTCGTTATAGGACCAAGTAGTTACGTTCCTTGCCTAGTACATTAGCCCCCTTCTATAAATTGTGATTATCTCTCTGAGAACAAATTCTTACTGATATGAAAAGCGGAACTACTAGTCAGAACACATCAAATGAAAAAGACTTGTAGGAGCACCCACAGATCTCATGATAGATATTTTCTCCCTTTTAGGTTTACTTTTGATTCAATGCCAATTCCAAACGGCCAAACACATCATAAAAGAACAGGAGTTTGATTCGATACCTCATATTCACCATCAATTTCTTCCTCCGTTTCTCTAAAGGCTTCTTGGAGTACTTCGGTGGCGTCACACTCATTGATGACCCTGGATCTTTTCTCTTCGTCACTCAGAATGTCCGACAACTTCTGAGGCATCAACCTAAATCCACAAAAAGTAGAGTTCCAAGCTCGACCTTCAGGATAACGTTAAAACGATTGCTAATAACCGCAGGCACTGTCAGCTAATTGGTAACAAGTACTTCGCCCTTATTCAGTCCTGAAAACGAAGGTGTTCCCAAGTTCGTTAAGCAAAGTGCTTTGATAACATCCAAACATTAAAAGAAACAGAGGTTTCGATATACCTGCTAGCAGCTTCGGCAGCCGCGGCTCCACCATGGCCATCGAAGATACAGAACACACCAAACTGTTCAAAGATAAGAAACAAAAATGGTTCAAGGTACAGACGTTAGCTTCCATCTTGCGTATCGCCAATATCACACGCCCTGACAAATCTTGTTCCATAGTACTACAAATTACAAGCATTTCGCACGAACGATCCATCACCAGTCTACGCTGTAATATCTGTAGCTTGCTTCAGAATACGAACCTCTTGAAAACCACGAAGAGGCCATTCGGCCAAGTTTACATCCTCCATAGGCAGCTGCTTTCCACCTCTACGAGTAGTCATAGGATCAGCAGCCAGACCCACTCCAAAAGGTGTGGAGGCAATGGCAAAATGGGCACTTTTTTTGCCGCTTAGAATTCTTACCTGAAACACGTCGAAGAGTCGTTACGCACCTATCAAACACATCTGAACTTATATAACATCATTGAAAAGAACATGAATAAACTACTTCACCGATAAATTTCGAAGGTAGATTTTCATCACGATGTTTGATCTATCTCATGCATTAAAATCCAAGAGAACTCCTTCACTCACTCGACGGCTTAAGGAGGTAACATGCAGAGTAAAGAGGGGCGGTACCAGGACTTGGGAAGTAGAGCCTAGGGTAACAATATCTCCATTGACAAGCCCTACAGGGTTTCCCCGCTGTCGGATGGGCGCATTTGGGGCATGAGTGGCAGCCACCGAACGATAGTTAACAAGAGTACCATTTAAGCTGCCCATGTCAACTAGCTCCCATTTGGAAATCTGTGGACGCGAAGAAAGAAAACAATTCATTCAGAACGATGCAGCTAGCCACTGAAGCATTATCATGTTGCGACAACGATACAAAATATGCTCGCCGCGACAGGCAGACAAAACTCAACTGGCCAACAAATCTGTCATCAGCCTTTGGCAAGAGAGAATCTCCAGACTTGTTGATTTGAATAAATTTCAAGTACAACGAGTGTATGTAGCCTCCAGGTGGGATATGTGGCAGAAGATGTAAATAGATGAAGGACTGCTGGAGCCAACAAGCCAGATACAGGAATGATACCTTGGAATTCCAGCTTATAAGAGCATGCTTCCCTGAAACTTCAGGATCATTGAGCACCAAGTCATTCTGTAATATTCGTCCAACGGTCAACGTGAGGCCTGAACCCTTCTTTGATTGTTGGGAAATGTGCACACCAGCTGATGGTCCAGAGATAACCTCCAATTGCAAGTTGGTACCTGTAGGACTACCATACTTTGGTCAGACAAGTCTCCGATTTCCCATCAATTTACAACTGAAATCAATAACGACATGGCCAAATCGAAGTAGTCCTTGAGAAATTCAATGGCAACTTCATTCCTGCTAACACACTGCAATAAAATTATCAAGGTCTTACTCTGAGCAGTGGCATCGGCCGGAGGTAGAAGGCCGTTGCTTTCCATATCACCATGACCTGATGCTGTCGTTGTAACTGGCTCAATCCATTCTTCATCTTTTGGACGTTTGTCAATACCCTGGGGCGATGCCTGCGATGGACTTGGCTTGAGGCGCTTTGCTGAGCTGTTTGCTGTACTCTGGCGCTTAATAGTACTTTGATTTTCCTCGGTGGTTACCAAGGGTTCGGTCAATTCTTCCCTCTTCTGAGCCAAGCACCAACCCCAAAATCATAAAAAAAGCCGTGAGCATCTCAACTCTCTACAAGGAAGAAAGCAAGGGACTGTCGATGACTGGATATGAAAACTGTGTACTCATCCATATCTACATATTCATATCTAAAATCTCGTGAACGTGCTCATGATCACATTTCCAAATTTGTTAAGAGTGCCAAGTTCTTAAAAAACTTGCAAAAGCACTGAAAGAGTTCCAGCTTTAGAGTGGTAGCGTTAGAAGTGAAGCAGCAGGTGAGTGTGCTGGGAGTCAACTTGTTCAGTTTCCGAGAAGCCGGGACATCACAGTTTTGTCCTTATTGATAACATTGCCACCGTTTGCCAGATTGAGCGTCTTCATGAGGTATTCAGTCGCAATATCTTGTGGAGATTTGCAGTTCCCCATCGGAGAGCCGAAGGATCATATCAATGAAGTAGAACGGGTTCATGCTCTTACTAAAAACAGAACACATTCAGGACAACAGCTAGGCTGAACAACTGCCACATTAAAGGTGTGCTCGTGTTACACGTCACAATTGATACTGGACTGCAAATTACCTCTTCTGGGCCTCCGACACAGTGCCATCGTCGTCGTAAGCGGCATGTAAAGGCATATACGCCGTATCCAACTAACATAATTCCTCCCACAACTAGCACTTTCTCCACCACCACCATTCTCTCCAAGTACCAGCTATATGGTAGGTATAACAATCGCAATCCAGATTCCAATACAGATCTCCAAAGACTCTGCGGTCTAATAATCTCATCTGTGTGAGAGATTTGGGCAGCACTGCTTCTAAGAGTTCTCAGAAATAACGCATTGTAGCCATCAAGACGGTATCAGCAATTCCGGGTACTCGGGGCAATAATTGCTGCCATTTCCACCTGCTGCTGTTCAAAGAGAGGATCCAACGTCTTCATTGGTATGTTCAACTTCCGTCTGTCTGATCCCTAACCCTAAACCCTGAAACAATTCATACGCCAGATGACAAAAAGCCGAGAGCGAAACAATGTCTAATTCACACCAGCTTCCACCGCCTTCTCCAAGGCTCCGTCCCTGTCACAGGGCGATATGTTCACGCCCTTCAGGACGATCACCAAATTTCATACGAAATGCACCAGGCACAACGCGAAATGGCTCCGGTGAATGTGACAGACCTGCACGGGATCCAACGGCCACGCTCTGGATCCACACACTGCAATCAGGAGACGGTGGAGAAACCCAGACAGTTTCCACACAGCCTTGTCCTAGACCTCCTTCCGACAGCTAACGGGGTCTCTTTCGCTAATATCCGCTCGTGTTCTCCCGTCTCTCAGGCCGGCCCGACTGACGGACTGTCTGCCTTGCTAAGTCTGCCTCCACGCATCCGCCTCATCCACCCCACCCCACCCGACCTGACCTGCATCTGCATCTGCTCCGCATCTATCGACTAGCGCACAGAAAAATGCTCTTCAACCTTCTCCACCTTCGCCTTTCGGCAATCGTCCTCCCCCTCGCCTCCTCCGCCTGCTCCCTCACATCCTGCCGGCATCGCATCACCATCAGCTTCCGTCCCGTGGGCGCGAGCGCTCCTCGACTCCTCCTCCTCCTCCTTAGTGCGGCTCGCCCTCTCGCATCTATTCTAAATTACCTCGAGACGACGAAAGAAAGTTCGAGAGCAAAAGCAAAAGGAATCGCACGACCCCTCCTCGCCCGCCGATGCTCCTCTCGCTCCCCGGCCCCTCCCTCTCCCTCTCTGCCCCTCCCCTCTCTCCCTCCCTCGCCCTCTCTGCGCCCTCTCTAACTCTGCTGCCTGCCTCTTGCTCCTCCCTGGCGCCCTCGCTGCCTCTCTTGCTCGTCTCGATCCCTCTCGTTCCTCCCGTCGCCGCAACGCGGACACAACGAGCTTTCCCAGTCCCCACACTGCGACCAGGTTTCTTCGGCTCCAGGTACGCGCTTCCAGCGCGCGCGCCCCCGCCGTCCGGCCGTCGACGACCGTCCGGTCTGGCCCGGATGCGCAGTCGTGTCCGCGACGGTGTCCGCCCTCCGCTTCCGCTTCTCTCGTCGGGCCTCCGCTCGCTCGCTTTCTGCGACACTGCCCCGGCCGTGCCCGAGGCCGTAATGCCGTCGCGTCCGGAGCTGCCGGTCTCCATTGCTCCGTCTCCTTCACGTCGTGAAGGGCCTCGTCGACGCATGCTTCTCGACGGCGCCCTCGTCGTGGACACTCCGCACCGCCTCGCTCATTCGCTGACCGACGCGTCGCTGCTCGCGGGACGACGACGACGACGGAAGTGCGTGCTTTTTTTCTCAGGCACTTGAATTCCCTCGTCAAGTTGGCAATTATACGGTCTGCATTAGATATGCTCGGGAGAATATCTCACACAATGGTGAGAATATCCCGTTCTCACCTTCAGATCATGTTAGCGTTTCCGTATATATTAGCGTCGTTTCTCAGCAAGGAAGCTCTTCACGATACTTTCTAAGAATTCTTAGCCGAATATGATGATTTTCATTTCCATGAAATAATTATACGAAGGAAAATTGTCGGAAGCCTTTAAGCACGCGGAAAACGTACCGAGAATTTGCTAACGGTACACTCGGACGAGCAGACCCCAACCGAAACGCCGTCGATAATTGGATGGTGTCACGACTTCGACTGCAGTTGCGAGCTCCGTCGACCTGTGAACGTTGGACGGGGAGACCGGAGGACTTGGACAATAGAGGCGTCTTCGATTAGAAGACCGCGAGGGAAGTTGTCCCTGGAACAGAAAACATCTCACGGGGACCGGTAGCCAGTCACGAGCCCCCACACCCGGTACGAAGCACTAAATTTAGCACCGCGGTTCCAGAGCAACATAGCTGAACGGTTCCCGCTAACTCCGCGAGCCGTTGATGTTTCTCGTTTCGCAAGACAACCTCTGTCAGTGGCACGATGCCCACCACGTCACAACATTTCTTGCATCCTCCCCCCGACACGTGGCCTCGAACTCAATAGCTCACGCAGCTGGATATGACTTTCCTTCCTCCTCTGCCACGTGGATGCGGATACATACTTACCGTTGTACAGTCGTCCTGCAGGTGTAAAGAAAACTGGCACCCCAGTCTCTGCAGTCCGAGGCCGAGTTGAATTTACTGCAATATTCCGCATTCTGGCCAATAAGCCCCAGCCAAATTAAGCACTACGGCTAAATTAGGGGGCGCGAGGATGGACAAATCGGGGCTTTCACATGAACAAGATGAAATGCGACGGAGGTTTGGGTATGGGCGCTCACGTTCGTGTCCGATGCAGAGGTCCTGGCCCCATGTTACCCCGTCTGGCTTCATCCATCGTCCGAGCCTCTTGTTCGCTCTCCTCCGCTCCTCTTTTCGTGCCGGCGAGATTGGAGATCACGGACGCATCTTGGGTGTGATTTAAATTTAGGTCACGGCGATCGACTTCACAAATCCGGCCGATTCAGTTTCGTTGGCGGGATTCGTGACGCGGACCGGAAGATCCGATTGCCGTCCGTTTTGTAAGCAGACACCGAACGCTCGGACTCTCAGGTCGAACGTCGGGGCGAGGGCGATCTCGCCACGTGGCGCACCACGAAGGCAGCATAAAGGAGACGGGCTTTGAGCATATAAAGACAAAAACGACCGGACAATAAAACAAACGGGCATGGACGAAAGTGCCCACGGAGGCCCGAGTGCGCCATCGCCAGTAACTACCTTCGGACGCTCCACAACGCTCCATCGCACAGCGCCATACACCGTTCGTCAGGGGAACGTTGGCTCGGCCATTACTGCTGCTGTGCTGCCGAACTACCGTCTCGTTATGGCGGACACTTTTGCGGGCGGGCGAGCTCAGAAAGGTCTCGCTCGTGCTTTGGGTCTATGAAGGCTCACGCCACGACAGATTCGCCATTCGCCATTGCCACTTCGGTGGGCCGAGCATGTTCAGCTTTCCCCTCCGTTTGTTTCTTCGTGCTCTCAATTCTGTCCGATTTCGGAGATTCACGAATGTTGGCCGTCTTTGGTATGAGATCGATCGATCGCCTTAGAGTCGATCGGCACTTTCTAAAATCTTGCCCCGACATCGTGAAAGCTCCTTGAAGCTTGGCAGTGAGAGAAACGCATTGGTGGCAAGGCCGTCTCTTCCTCCGCGAAAGTGAGGGTCAAACCTGGTCTCACTCTCTATGTGTCGACCTTCTGATGATATCCTTGAGGTTTTCCATTTCGTTCCTATATCTTTTCCTCGTGTGAAGTATCTTTTCTCCATTTATTTTTAGCCTCGTTGCACTTGTGTACCTGCTCGATTCATGCACCTTATCCTCTTGGATCAATCAGACTGAATAACAATATCGGAAGTCATCGTGAAGACGAGTCGCGATTGTTGTCCGTTGTATACCGATTGTATACCGTGTAAAAATAGGACGACCCATATTAGTAGTAGGATAGAATGGACTTCGTTGAGCTATAAAATCGAGGGTTGACCCATTTCATGATTTATCTCTAGACTTGCAGCATCGTAGTGAAACCTAGGGTCGACCTTTGGCATTGGAAAAGAGCGCTGTCATCAAACTCATCAACCACATCCTGATCAGGATCCCAAATGATGAATAAAATTGTACCAGAAAATAAATAGCCCTTCTTCCACTTGGGCCTATCTGCAATAGAATAAAATAAAAAGTACGCAAAGTACAAGCGTCCTTTCATGTTGAAGCTCTCAGTAAATTCCCATTGGGGTAACATCAGTAACATGCTCATGCTCCCATCTGAGGTGTTCGCCACCGAAAATAGAAACCAAAATCCAAGCGTCCCAAATAAAATCCACCCACACGACCCACATCTCAGATCTAGTACCAAATGAACCCACCGCATTAAGGCCAGTACACGAGTATCCACTCCTCACCCCCACACAGAAAGGCTCCTCATCTGCAGGCCAAAAGATATTCCCTCAACAAAAATCCGCTCATCATTTTGTCTACTTTTGCGAAAAGGCTGGGAATATAGGACTCGAAGCCGGTAACAAGTTGCACTTACGTGGTCAATGAGGTAGAACATAAATATGAGCTCCTTTCCGTCAACCAACCGCGGCAATCATTGATTCTTGGCTATTACTATGGTGGCCGCTCAGACGATCTTTTATCAGCGATATATAATGTTGTTTTCCAAGTACAGTGTTGTGCTCTCTGCCGTGGATCTTTCCGGGGCCAAAGAGCACTTCCATTGGTCCACTCAGTTACCCACCACCAACCAACCAACCAACCCAGAAAAAGGAGCATTTCGATGCCTCATGATGCAGGACGCCAGACTTTGTGAAAGTCGATGGACATTTTGGGCCCAGTCGACAAGGAATTTGTGTGCTGGTTTCTTGGATAAGTTTGATCGAGTTCTGAATCTGAGGCGGAATCAGCAGCCGGCGAATCTGGGATATATTCTCAAGAGTGTGTGGCACTATTTGGAATGATGATGATGATTTGGGTGGTGACTCTAGTATCTAGCCAGTCCCTCTCTTGGTGAACAAATCTGCCTTCCATGCCTTTCGAACGATTCGTTGGACTATAGTACACTCACTACTCGAGGTTGACTTCGAACAATTCTTGGCATTGGACAAGACGAAATATTCAACATGTTTTGAGGTTTCCTAAATATCCCATCGTTTTGCTGAGTCATAATTCTTTCCAGTAGAAAAAGTCATGGTGATGGATGCTAGAAGAATAAGAAGCATTGAATTATTGTGCAATTTGAATGAAACTCTCCAATGCTTCAACGACCTACGGAACACCTATGACTGGTCCAATTTTGAGCATTATTGTTTCTTAATCATCTACGATGAATTTAAACCACTGAACAAAGTTGAAAGCATAAAGGATAATTAAGAACAATGATATGATTAACAACACGCAATCAAGCCTTCCCAGTAGCGATATGTCCCATGTCTTTCATACCTCTAACACATGAATACAAAAATACATTTCTTTAGAGATGTAGAAAAATTGAAGAGCTTTTTCTGAGATAATCTTCAACTTGTTCATAAGTGAGTTCACAAAACGATCATGAGTATAAGCTTGAAATTGATTTTAGATAATAGAAAAAATTCATGTTTATCTACAACAGCATTTAACTTGATCAATACTTTAAAAACTTTGGTGAAGCTGCAATAAATTCATGTAAAAAAATAAAACCGTTTTTGTTTTCAATTTGATAAATCCGATTAGTCGTTTATCAAGATAAAGTGGTCATTAGCGCTTTATCATGCTCTTCAGTATGCAGATATAGTAGAAAATCAATGCAATTAACTAGGATCGAATTAAATTGTGTTGAACGTTTACTTAGCAAGTGAGTTTCTTGCAAAATTCCCTAATTTAACAACACTTCTACTATTATGGTATAGAAATCATAGTATAAGAAGAACACCATGTGAATATAATAATCAATAAAAAAAATCTAATTTCACGAATCTCCCAATATAATTCGATCAAGGTTTTGGACATCCTCATAACTCAAAATGAAATAGAAATTGGCAATAAGTTTGATGTATGACAGTAAAGAATGACATTGTGCTCACATGAAGCCAACAATCAATTCATTGTCTTAGAAAGTTCCTCCACTGATTCAATCAATATCATTATGCATCTGAATCTGTTAATGCCTCTAAGAGGGAAACACTTTAGCAACATCATGTTATGTATATCTAGACCTCTTTAGAACGATACGCACAACCCTATGAACAGCTATATGAAAGGTGAAATTGTATCTAGCACAAAGAACTATTGGAAAGTACTCATATCACCAAAAATACATTCTTAAGCACTGTATCAACACCTCATAATTACACTC